CCAGGTCACGAACCCGTATTGCCCCATTTCTTCCTAAAATGTCTGAAGTTTGCATTTTGAAGGCTTTAAGGTTACTTTAGGAGATCCTTTATTTCTTCCTAAAAATGTCTGAAGTTTGCAGTTTGAAGGGCAATGGCTTTAAGGTTACTTTAGGAGATCCTTTAAAAAAAACTCTTTAGATCCTCTTGTTCTTGTTTTTCAGGGGAAGAGCTTCCCCCCTTTTTTTCTTTTTCTTTTTTTTTGGAATGTAAATTCAGAGTTTGGACTCTGCCCCACACCCCCTCCCCCCCTTTTCTTTCTCTTTTTTTTGGAATGGTTCATTAGAAGCTGTCAAAGCGACATTCTTGGCTGTTTAGCTTCATTAGAAACTGTCAAAGCGACATTCTTGGCTGTTTAGCTCACCATTGCCGGCGCAGATTGGCCAACCCGGCTGCTGTGGAGGGGGGGGGGTTGGCGAAGGAGCCTCGCCACATGCCCTGCTCATTCACCCAGCATCCCGGTGCCACCCGGCCACGTGACTGTGCGGCTTTCAGGCCACCAGGGTGGGCCTTCTTGGAGCGTGGGAATAAAGAGGTGAGGCAGGCAGCCTCTCCACCCTTCCCTCTGAGCGAAAGGCCCCAGGGTGGCAGCCCTGACAATGATCTCCCGGCTCTCCTGTTTAGCATGCGGACGATGCCGATTTGAACACGCACGTCCACTTTTCGAAGGATGTTATTTTTTCATTCCTGCAGTTCTCTGCCACCTCAAGGTGCTTGAGAGCAGTTTTGACAGGGGCCATTTTTAATGCAGTCTCTGGAATCGTGGCTGATGTACATTCGTGGCACAGAAGAGGGATAGCCGTTCTCTTTGTTACCAAGCCAGCCTTGCTCCAAAAATGTGTTTGTCTGCAGTCCGATCATTCCGCTGACTAAGGTTATGAGGGTTGTACTCCCGTACATCCAGAGACTGCCAGATTAGGGAAGCTGGATTGCCCTGTGCCGGAGTTAACTCTGAACTTCCCAAATATTACAGAGAGGGAAGTTCTTGGAGGGAGGGAAGGGGAAACCTGGGCCTGGGGGCCCGTGTGAATTCCTCCAGCACGAGTTTTGGAGGCCGTTGCCACTGCATCTTTTGCTCTCTTCTCTGTTCAGTATGCTGAATCTTTAATTTTGTAGAAATGAAAAGCTGCATAAATACGAAACTGCATGTTTTCCCCCACGTTCCTTACTCTCTCTCTCTCTCCCCCCACCTCAAGTAGTGAACTTTGAGGAAGTGCTACCAGGCTTTGCTTCACTCTGGATGCAGAAGCCCAGGAAACTTCAGGGGCAACCCAAGCTTGTATGTTTTGCTTTCTTTCCATCAGTGGTTTAAGCCTCTGGTGGTGGAGCCAGAGGTTGGGAGTTCAATTCCCCCACTGGGCCTCCTTGACAGGGGCTGGACTGGATGATCCAGAGGGTCCCTTCCAGTTCTGCAGCTCTAAGGTTATATTTTGATATAAAGAAGCAGAGCATCAGAATATAGGGAGCTGCCTTCTGGTGCTTGAGACCTGCTGATCCGGTCTTGTCAGCTCTGACTGGCCGTAACGGCGCCCCAAGGGTTCAAGCAGGATCCTTTTCTAGCCCTACCTGGAAGATCCCTGATTCTCTGGTGGTCTCCCATCCAACCACACCTGCTTAACTTTGCTTAGCTTCCAGAGACATCGGTGTGTTTAGGGGACCCAAGTCGATCCTTATCAACGGGACAGCGCAGACTATGTCAGCTTCCAAACAGCATCTAAAGCCAGTTTCCCCCTTCATAGTGACCAGGCCATGAACCTGCAGCAAGCATCCCTTTTAAGATGGCACTCGGCTTTGGGACCAGTTTGCCTGGATAATGCAGAAGAAATAAGAAAGTTGTCTCTGGTTTAGGTGCGCTCACTCAGCCTTCCACCATCTGTGCCCCTCCAGGTGGCTTGGACTACAGTTTACGTGGTTTCTAGACCACATAGCTATTAGACACACTGGCTGGGCTGTGATGGGAGTTGTCGTTCTGCCCATTGGAGAAGAAACTCCATCACTGTATTATTTTTTAGGGGAGGGGAAACACCTCTCAGGCTTAAGATCTTCTCCTTCTGCCCTTCCCTACCCTCCTGGTCTGTTTAGGAATCCTGTGAAAGGCATGATATGAAAAAAGCAACCTGACACAACTTGACAACTTGCTCAACGCCTGGCCCTTCCTTCCTTTGGGCCTGCCCTTGCCTGGCGCTGCTCTCGGAAGGCACAGACGAGCCTTTCCCATCCCATGCTGCCCATTCTACATTCTTTCCACCGTCCATCAGTTTCCGCCACGCCTAAGCAGGTTGGTTAGCCTTTTTAAGCGGAGGATACGGCAGCACGTCTCGGCTGGCTTCCTCGTGAGGCTTTCCAAAGGGAATCCCCCGGCCACTTTCCCAGCTGCCTCCCCCGCCTCGCTATAGGATTCCGGGTGGAATTTTTCCTTCCAATAACAAGGGGATGGCTCGGTAGGGGCAGGGGTGGAAGGGTTCCAGGAGCTCTCCCGAGCTGGCATCTCTCTTTTTTCCCTCCCGGCTCCTCCTGCAGTTCTCAGCCCAGCTCTTCCAGACAGGCCGTGTGTGGTGTTGCTGCTCAATTAATCAGGCCCTGCCTCACCGTTTCCTCAATGAACGGGGTTGGTAACGGTTGTCAAAACAAGCCTTGTGGTGCTGAAAGCTCTCCCGCTTGCCGTTTCTGGCTTCTTGAGTTGCACCCGGTGCTCTTCGGGCTGCGTCAATGGGCCTCCCACCCTGTCTGTCTGTGGCGGGGGGAGAGAGAAGAGTTTAGATCTGGGGTGTTCCAGATAACCCTTGATGTAAAATGACAGGCCCTATTCATAGCCCCGAGCCTGCTGCTTACGACTCACACGAATGTGACAGCTATGTGTCACAAATAAGTCTTAGCGTAGCAGCCACACCTGCAAATGTCTCTATGGATTTCCTTAAAACCAAGTGGGAAGATCGGAGCTACGGAGGGCCTTGAACCGTTTTGCAAGGTGTGCAGTGGAACACTTGTGACAGTAAACCGTATTCACTCCATTTTAGCAAAAAAGAACCAAAGACCTGGTGACGTTTTGAAAACCAACAAAGCGTCATTTGGCGTACGCTTTGGTGACCTGCGGCTGGAGAGAGAGTTGATTGAGTGGGCTGTTGGCAGTCCCGTAGAAGCTGATGCCAAATTAAACTTCTCGGCCTTTAAGCTGCCGGCCTTTGTCCTCTTATCATGCCCAGATGGCCCCTTGTTCATTTGGCAGGCAGGGCAGGCTGGCACAGAGGAGCACGGCTACCCCTGCTGACCTTCTGTGGAAGCAGAAAGTGGGTTGCATTCACGCTTCCGGGTATTGTTGAGAAGAGAGGTGATTTAGGATTATGCATGCAAACAACCACACGCCTGGTGGTTTGTGGTGAATAAAAACTCACTCCAGGCAAGCATGTGGCGGAGAGTGGGAAAGGGAAAGGAGAGAAGGACTCTTCCCCCCCCCCCGTGTGCCAGACATCCCTGTCACAGGTATATGTTCGCAGGTGAGCTGCTGACAATCATAGACTAATTTCCAAAGTCGGGTCAAGGGGTGAGGTTGGTTGAGCATGCAAATAAATGATGGCACCAGGGACACCTCGTTCTGTCCCCTCACTTAAGTGATGTTGGGAGAAAAGGTAGTAGGACATTCTTTGATCACGTTTTTGGGCAATATCCACCTTCAGGATAAGGCTGAAGGGGCTTGGGAACCAAAGGCCCAGTTTCCCAGTGTCTACCTCTATGGCTTTTCCCCCCTTGCAGAGCGCTCCACTGCAACCCTTACCCTCGAAGCCACAATTTCCTTATCTCCAGCCTTCTTTTCAACCACATGTAAGCAGAATTTCTTCAACTGATGGTAGTGAGGAGAGCCCCTGTTCATCCGCCCGATGGCTGTGTTGGAAGATGGTGTGCTTCGGACTGAGCAAAACATTGTGCCTTTTCCTCCTCTCTGCTGGCATGCATAGAAGAGATGTCTTCAAAATACATCTCCCTCTTAGTCCACATACCTTAGCATCTAAAAGGCTAAGAAGTTGCCTCTGGCGCGAGACTTTGCAACTGCAGTTCATGAGATGGAATCCATCAAAGCCGACCCTAAATGAAACTCATCTCGCTTTGAACTGCGATTCAGTTGTTTTTGCAATGACCGGTTGTCATGGCTACCCCATTCCCTTGAAATATTTGAGGCGGTGTCTTAGACCTGTAGTTTCCAAACTGGGATAACTCAGGTGTTGCAGTCCAGGGACACCTGGGTGACCCAAGGTTGGAAACCACTGCCCTAAACCCTTCTGCTGATGCTGTGAGGCGGTTTCTGAAAGTATGGTAACTCCTTGCAAGGCTGTGGGCCCACTGTTTCTTTGGCATCCAGCGTATCTGGCCACAGTGATTTTGGCAAAGAAGGGGAAGTGGTTCTTCAGAACTTGTACAATGTTGGAATTCGCTCTGGCATTTAGTTTTGCTAGCAGAATCTTCCAGATGTTGCTGTTGGAATAGGTTGGGCAAACTGGACATGCATACCGTGTGCCTCCATGCGGTCTCTCTCTCTCTCTCTCTCTCGGTTTGATTTTTGTCCAGTTTTTCAGAAAAAAATGGGGAAAAATGAAGAAAGAACCTTGAGATCCCACCTGCTTTGTGCTAAAGGAGCCCAAGGCCATCCTAGACAATGTCTGTTTCCAAAGGAAGGCTGAGAGCAGTAGAAGCAACGCGTCTCCACATTTGGGGCCAAATTCCAGGCCTCTCCCGGGAGGCTCCATCCTTTGCCAAACAATATCACCCACTCCCTCTATTCTGGAGTGAAGCTGCAGCTATTTTAAGGCAGAGAGGGTGGGGGACGCCGGGTTGCTGGCACTCTGTGGGTGTCCCGCTTCCATGCCAAAAATGGATCATTTGTGTTTTTCTTTGGATCTGTCCGTTTGGAGCCAGTGAGCCCCACTCAGTGCCTTTTCAATTTAAGTATTTCATTTTTTCTTCTGACAGACCTTCACAGCATGGTGCAATTCCCACTTAAGAAAAGCTGGCACGCAGATTGAGAATATCGATGAAGATTTCCGTGATGGCCTCAAGCTCATGTTACTCCTGGAGGTCATTTCAGGTGAGATTCAGAGCTGCTTGTCCTGCTTCCTTGGAGACCCCCCACCCCACCCGCATCCTTCCTGCCCTTGCAGAAATCATGGTTTCCTTTTATAAGGAGAATCCTAACGCTGGAGGAATCAGAGGTGACACCTACATCCTGAGATTGCTATCCGTCTTGTCATCCTTGTAATGGAAGGATTCCCAAATCCCATAGCAAACTTCTCCAGAAGCCTTGTTGCAAAGCTTGTGGATTAGCCTGTCAGTGATTGACACAGACTGTATAACAAAGAAACTGAGAATAGAATGATAGGACAAGCCCAAGTGTATTCTCCTTTCATCCCACAAAAACTCTGTGAATCTCAAGAGGAGTACTGAACAGCTTAGGTTTAAACAAAATTTGCAGCATAGATGGTTGGATATGATTTGGGCCGGAGTTGGGAGCAGCTCTCAGAATCTCTCTTGCTAGGACGGTCATTTGGCACCAAAATGACATCTGACCTGTACTGAGTTAATCACACTCAGCAGGACCTGTGTTCATGGTTTCGAAGGTCTCGTGTTGATCTCCATAGGACCAAAAGGGAACCAGTTCACTTGTTGTATCCTTGATTTGCCCTGTAACAAAAAATGAGCAAAGAATTAAAACATAAATCAGAAACAGTAGAACACTTAAAAAAAAAATCAGTAAGTGAAAAGCCTATGCAGCAAGTGGAAGAAAAGCCTGTGTGTTTGTATCAGTAAACAAAACCCTGTGCCCAAGTTCCTTTGAATCTAACTCCATGTATTTGGAGAAGCAAATGAGTAGCATAAAATAAGTAAACGACCTGAAGTCACGTTAATTTTCTGTTCCTCTTAGGCAGTGAAAGTATGCGCTACGCAAGAGCTGTTGATTTGTCTTGGTATCTTGCTAGGCTTGCATTTGATGTGACAAGGAAGCTGATTTTTGCCTTCTCTCCCCACCTCCTCTCCCCAAAACTCTGGCCTGTTTCAGGAGAGCGGTTACCAAAGCCAGAAAGAGGAAAGATGAGGGTGCATAAGATCAACAATGTCAACAAAGCCCTGGATTTCATTGCCAGCAAAGGGGTCAAGCTGGTTTCCATAGGAGCCGAAGGTACGTGAATTGGTGTGGGCAGGGTCGGCTGGCGAGGCGTTCCTTCACGCTTTTCTGGTGCACCCACTTGAAACTCAACCACCAACACAGTTATGACTGCCTGTTTTGTAAGCCCTGTAGAGACAAGGGCTTAATTCTCTCGTGCTTTAGGAAAGCGTGCTGTCTCTTGGTAGCGCTAGTTAAGTGCCAGCTTATACAGCTGCCTTTTCATCCACTTCGCCCCAGCTTCACAAACCTGGACCAGTAATGGCTCTCTCAAGACTCAAAACCTTGTGCGGCTCTACCAGCAGAGGTCTTTCAGCAGGAGACACCAAGGCTTAGAACTAGAACCTCATATAGGAAGCAGATTTCTTTGGAATCAGACCCTTGGCCTGTGTAAGCCAATATGTCAGCTGTGACTGGGCAGCACTGGCTTTCCTGGGTTCCAGGAGGAGATGGTTCCCTAGCCTGTTAGGAGATCTGCTATAGTCTCACGGCACAGCGGTTAAACTTAAGAACTGCGGCCAAAACTCTGCTCATGATTCAGGTTCAATCCTACGTAGCCAGTTTGAGGTTCATTCAGCCTTCCATCCTTCCAAAGTGAGTAAATTGAGTACCCAGCTTGCTGGGAAGGCAATGTGTACCCTGCATAATTAAATTGTAAAATGCCCAGAGAGTGCTTTGAGGACTATCGGGCAGTATATAAGGAGCATGCTTTGCTTTTTGCTGGTCTCCCATTCAAACATTAATTAGGCCTGTCCCTGCTTAGCTTCTGAAATCAGACAGGGCGAGGTGTGTTCAGGGCGGCTTTGTGGACGCCGAGCAGTCGTTCCAAGGCCCTGCCGCTGCAGGCGGTTCTTCCCCGTCTGCCCTTTGGACCTGGAAACAATGTGCAGGCCTCAGAAGGAGAAGCTGTTCCCAAGCAGTGCCCCGTGTCGGAAAGGTTGAAGCCGCCCCGGTATTGCTGTTCTGTTATTTTACGGAAGCCGTTCTCCTTGGCGAGAACCTTCCTGTTTCAAAAGATAGAGCAGCCGTTGATTCAGTCCAGGACATCTAAGAGCGAGGTGTGATTTTACTGCATGCGTAACGACCCCTCCAAGGGTGTGAGCAAATGGGGCTGGTCGTAGAGGACATTCAAGGGACGAGATTCCCCTTAAAGGAAATGTCCCTACAGTTGTGAGTGAAAGAAGCCACCCGATGTGTATCGAGCTTCATCGCCAAGGAAGGAGCCCAGAGACAGAGCAAGGGAAGATTTCTTTTCTTGGGCCACTACTGCCAGCAGCCACACAGGATAGTGGAAGGCAGGGAAATGCAATTCAAAGGAAAAACGTTTCAAACAGCTGCTTGTGAGCATCTGTTTGAGCCAGAGCTTAACTCTGTAGCCTGCCAAACATGCGAGTTTCATAAATATTCGTATGTGTGGATGACTGGGCCTTGCGGGATAGAGAAAAGTGACTCATGGACTTGGACGAGGGAGAGCCTGAGAGCCAATCCCTGGGAAGCTCCCCTGAGCCACGTTCCTCTCTTTCCCCGACGAACCTGCTGCCCAGATTGGAAGTTTTGCTCCCCGGCGGCTGCTGGAAGCTCAGGATCCAGAGGAATGGCTGGAAACCGTGTCCCCGGATGCTTCGCATTCCTCCTTGCCCTTTCCCATGACTCTCGAGGAATGTTGCAAAGCAGACGACTCTGGCCACGGGCCCAGTTTTTCCCAGTTGCGGAACGTCAGGTGCCTGGATGCAGAATTTGATTCTTTCTTCAAGCAACGGAGGATGAGGCCGGCCAGTCCGAGAAAGGCGGAGCCACTGGGAGCCAAAAGCAGGTCCCCTTTCGCTTTTCCCCAGGGTCGCCGGTTTCATTTCCTACCTCTTGGTGAAAGGCAGGAGAAAAAGAAACAACAGCAGAGATGTGAGATGCTGGACCGAATTGGAAGAAGATTTGCCCACCCAACTGCGTTTCCCCAGTAGCCACAAAGAGGTGGCTGCAGGATTGCCTCAACCTATCGCTGCCCAGATAGGTTGGGCATAAATGCGCCTGTAGTCATAGTAAATTTGTTTGTGCGCTACATCTCCTCCATGGCTCTGTGCTCAAAGCCGTCTGCAATAAATAAATGAATACATAGAATTTTGATTACAGCAGCTATAATACGTCATAGCACATCATACGCGTGATACAGATTCAAATTCATGCAAAACATTTCTAAAGTACAAATAACGTAAAGAGTAAGTCAGATAACAGCACTGAAGATCGTCTTTTTTATAATATAGGGTTTGGTTTATTAGAAATAGCCTGTGGACCAGGAGATGAAAGGGGCAGCAGCCCAAATCATCCATCTCAATAGGCATACCTTTATAGGGATCTTATCCTATAACAATCAAAAATCACAAGATAGAATGGCCCAATGAATGGTTTGTGACAAATTGAGACCCTTGGGTAGCTATAACTTGACGGTAAAGACTCCCACAATATGCTTACACACCTGAAGCCTCTTCACCACTGCGAAATGTTTTATTGGCCTTCTTCTGTCATTGAACTTTGGATGGTACATGTTGGGAAACGTGCATTCAGTCTTCGGGCAAGGATACCTGCAGAGCCCAAGGAAGGGGGGGGGAGAGAATATGGAAATCTCTTTAAACACCCAGCAGGAATGCTCCAGGATGCCACAGCTATAAGACCTCCCTTGTTAACACGTGTCCTTCATGCATTTGTGCGCTTTCTCTGGGGAATGTCAGCATAAACCCAGCCCTGGTGCCTGCTGTGGTGCACGTTTGATCTGGCCTGTGTCTTCACCTGAGACCTGATCCCTTCAGGGCCTCATCAACCAGATGTGAGGGCGATGGAGAGGAAAGTCATCTACTGTTATAACAGACTGTAGCCGTTGTTCAATATAAAGGTGGTCACTGGACGCGAGGAAATGCATCTTTGCTATAATGTCCCCCCAAAGCTATAGCGAAGGTGAGCCAGAGGTTAGATTTCCCCAGGCATCTGTGGGCACTTGGCTATGATTTTAAAGTGGGAGGTGGATTTTACTCTTTTTTTGTTTTGTTCCCAGAAGCTGCCCAGATACAAAGCATGCAGAAGACCCCTTCACTGGGAGCAGTGGTGTGGAGACCTGATTAGTTTCCCAGTTGAAAGAGCGGGTGCAGTCCTTTAGCCCTGAAATGCATACAGCCGACAGACTAGCTCAGCGTAGGCCTAAGGCCCATATCTAGCTATGCTGGCTATTCCTAACCTCAGCTCACAACCAACATATAGCCAACTCGTATCAGTGGCATGACGACAGTAAACAGTCTCCATGCTTTTATCTCCTGACACAATATCTTCATATCCATCACAAGTCCCTACAGCTAATCTTTTTTTCTTCCTCTCCCCCTCCTCCACCCCCTTTCTGCTTCTAGAAATCGTCGATGGCAATGCGAAGATGACCCTCGGTATGATCTGGACAATTATCCTCAGATTTGCCATTCAAGACATCTCCGTGGAAGGTCAGAGCCCAGTCTTGACACTGATTTTGAGCATCTTGCTTTCTTCCCTCGCCATTTTCTGTCGCGATGCCAGCTTTTGGATACATGCCCAAGGAAGAGGTTGACTGTGATGTTCTATAAAGGAAAGAAAGGCATGGCGCTCAAGCAGTTAAGCCTTTGGGCCATGCAGGATCCGTTTGGGCAATCTGCTGTGGCCATCCTAGGCCTCTGTTTCGAACAGCTGGCTTCCCATTTCCCGCAAGATCAATTTCAATAAATCTTTCACTGCACGGCTGCTTTGTCAGCTGCAATAACTGTCACTTACTTTATCGAGCGTGTGGCATTGGCCGTTTGTCAAAATACCTGCGCTGGGAATTGCAGAGCTGGCACCTATAGGCAGCTGGTGGCTTTTTCGACCGAGATCAACCTTCCCAAGGCCTGCCAGCTGGCTCCCTTGCATGGGCCTCCTTGAGTTTAAGGACACTCTCATCAGCACTCACAATGCCTTCAGCGTTGGGTCCCATCCTGAGTCATATGCAAAGGGCATTTGAATGCCCTCCTGCAGCACACAGAGGGAGCGAGACTTGGGGAGATCCCTTGGCTTTCAATTCCAGTGGAATGTTTTCATTTGATATATAGTTGTAGGCAGTGAGAAACATAACACAGCAGTGCAGGTTCTCAAAAGGAACACATAGACCAGCTGCTACAGACCTTTGCATATCGCCAATATGCCTCTGGGCCATCTAGAATGAAAATGCCTTTTACCAATAAGGCAGACAGAGTAGAGATGGGAAATAGGATTCCCTGATTGGCATAGTTTTTGAATTAATCGTGGTATGACAAGAAATAAAATGATTCATTTGAAATTTGGCGCTGGAGGAGAGCTTTGTGGATACCCTGGATTTCCAGAAAGACGAACGGGTAGGTTCTAGAGCAAATCAAGCGTGAACTGTCTCTGGAGGCAAATACGTTGAGACTGAGGCTGTCCTACTTTGGGCACATCCTGGGAAGGGAGGATGCTCTGCAAAATAAATAAATAAATAAGGCTGGGGAAGGTAGAAGGTAGCAGGAAAAGAGGAAGACTAGTTACGAGATGGGCTGATTCCCTAAAGAAACCGCGGCCTTGAGTCTGCAAGAGCTGAGCAGTGTTGTTAAGGAGAGGGCATTTTGAAGTTCGCTCATTCATTGGGTCGCCCTTGATGGCACAAAAACAACAACAGTCATGTCTTCCCCAGTCTTGTTCTGGAGATCTCCCATTAGCTGTTGTGCCTGCCTCTGACAGTCTTGAGTCTGCAAGAGCTGAGCAGAGTTGTTGAGGAGAGGGCATTTTGAAGTTCGCTCATTCATTGGGTCGCCCTTGATAGCACAAAAACAACAACATTCATGTCTTCCCCAGTCTTGTTCTGGAGATCTCCCATTAGCTGTTGTGCCTGCCTCTGTCTTTCCATACCATTGTCACACAGGGAGTCCTGCTCCTCTTGTGCACTTTGGCTTTTCCTGACTTATCCCAAAGGGAAGGGCGCCTTTCTCCCACGGAGACCCTGCTGTAACTCCTTTTCGTCTTCTGTCCACAGAAACGTCTGCCAAGGAAGGCCTGTTGCTCTGGTGCCAGAGGAAGACGGCTCCTTACAAGAACGTTAACGTGCAGAACTTCCACATAAGGTAACCGTTGAACGCACCGCTCCTCAGGGATGTGGGGTGTTACCTTTCCAGAAGACAGAACTGACCCTGACTCTGCCCAAACCATTTCGGAGGCTCCCCTGATATTTTGGGGTGCTAGCCTTCCCGCCGAAGATTCGGGTACTCCACCCATCCAGAAGCAAAGCTCTTGGCGCTTCTTATTCAAGCCTGACCCAGGGCTTGTAAAAGCTGTCGTTGCTCCCTGGGAACGGTAGAGCCCCACAAATCTAATTTTGGGAATGGTTCAGGCTGAAAAAATGAGGCAGGCTGTGGGGGGAAAGTGGATAGCGGTCCCTCTTCCTCCTCTCTCCCTCATATGCACACCTTCTTCTGGTGATGCTCACTGGATCAGAAGCATGAAGCCCAATGCAGTCCTGGGTTGAATTCAGGATTGAGTTCAGTTCAGGATCATGCAAGTGTGCTGAGAAACACACAGGGAGTTCCCGTCTCCCTCTCCGTCTGTAGAAGGGCAAGAGTTAAGAGGCTGGGCTTTACCATCTGGAAGCCCTCCGGAGGTGCAAGGGGCCTCTCCATCGGCACCCTTCCTGTGTCTCATGGTCTTCTTGCTTACTGTTGTTGTTACGGTCGTTTTTGATGTTGTGAACCACCCAGATGGGTGGTATAGAAGCCAAATAAATCACGGTCGTTTTTGATATTGTGAACCACCCAGAGTGGCCTCTCGCCGGATGGGTGGTATAGAAGCCAAATAAATAGAATAGAATTTGTTAAGGTCACCTTCCAGCTGATGAGAAAGCAGCGGGTTTGCCCTCGAAGAATGAGTAGACAGGGCTTGAGAGGGCAAAAGATAAAAGCAAAGTTCGTGGAGTAGTGGAAGGAGGGGTTCTCTCCCCGGGCACGATGGCTACACGGGACCTGTTCGCTCAGAGGCCGCCTGACACTTGAGTGCTTCAGGTGAGGAGCATCCATCAGAGAAGGCCGGTGCCTTGGTGTCCCTAGAGTCACCGGGAGTTAAAAGCGGAAGGAGGGAGTGGGCCAGGGCCAGGTCTGACCCACGAAGACTCTGAAGTTCCAGGGTTCTAGTAGTGTTGGCTAGTGGTGACAGGAGTTGCACTGTGAGATGTCCAGAGGATCCCTGCTAGGGGGAGAGGTAGGGAGACTGCGCTTTTGTTCCTTTTCAGTCCCCTCATTTTGATGACCCCCATCCCATCCAAAAAGGACGTCCAGTTTTGAGGGACCCTATCCCCAAACCTCCACCCTCCACCTCCACCCCCCAGTCATAACCGAGCTGTCTTAACCTGACTCTTGGGCTTCTTTTTGCAGCTGGAAGGATGGCCTTGCTTTTAATGCCTTGATCCACAGACACAGACCAGAACTCATTGAATATGACAAACTTAGAAAGGTAAGTTTGTGGTGGGGCGGGGGGGGGGAGGAACATGGCGATGGACAGGAGCTGCTCTTTCCTTCTAGCTTTGACTGAAGATGCTCTTTCGCTTTACCCTTGCAATCTCCCCTGAATCCAGCAGGCATGAAAATGGCCTCGTTCCCTGGGCCGAGGGAGGCCTGGAATCCCATTCTGCCTCTTGGCCAGCAGTTGCAAGAGTACCGAAGGGCGCTTCCCACGTGGCTTGGTCAGGCCCTTCGGGGTGGCTGAGACTGACCCAGCGAGCGCCTTCAGCATTGAGGATACACAGGATATGTCTCAGACCTATATTGGTGGCGGGGGGGGGGAAGCTTCAAAGCATTTTTTTAGAGCTTGTCAGGCCCCTGGAGTTTTCAGCGGCATCTCCCTACTCCAGGGATCCAACATTTCTGTGCCTCAGCCAGAGTAGCTGGCCTTCTGCAGAGAGGCAGGTTGGTTCTGGCCTGGAGGCCTCTCTGGCGGGCTCGCAAGCCCCTTGCTCTGGATCCCCCCCGACCTCACCGCTGTACCTCTCTGGCCACTTCCTGTCTTTCAGGATGATCCAGTGACGAATCTGAACAACGCCTTTGAGGTGGCTGAGAAATACCTCGACATTCCCAAGATGTTGGATGCAGAAGGTAAGCCACGACCTGTATCGCACAGGGCTCTGTGTAGTTGCCAAATATGAATCTCGGGACCCAGCCTCTGGATTATAGCCGACTCTCCACAGTGAAAGAGGTTCCTGGCCCCAAGAACTGTGTGCTTTTTCTCCCTAAGCAGGAGGACTTTAAAAGAGCTGTCAAGTGTTGCCTGTAGAGTCACACTTAGTGGTTTATTCCCCCACTGTAGCAAAGCATCCTAGCAAAGCGGGAATCCTGTTTTGTCAGGCAGCCTGCTATGTTGGGCACTCCAGGCGTGCTCCAATGCAGGTCCAATAAACGCATGGAGAACCGCTAGGCAGCGTATTCCTGAAGCAGGATTGCCATGGTGTTGTTGTTGTTGTTGTTTTTTTTTGGGGGGGCGCACTCCAGGCATGCTCCAACGCAGGTCCGATAAACGCATGGAGAACCGCTAGGCGGCGCATTCCTGAAGCAGGATTGCCATGGTGTTGGGTTTTTTTGGGGGGGGGGCTGCAGCTCCTGAATTTGCTGGCTAATATAACCAGTGGCCAGGCTGAACGGAATGGGGAGTGGGGTAAGCTGGGATCCAAAAGAACAATTTTTAAGCCCTTGAGGTTGTTGATCGAGTAACTGGAGTGCTTTACTTGACTTCGATGCAAAGAGCAAACCTGTCTTCTACTGTGGTGTGTTTTGTTTCGTTTGTGTTGTTCACTTCTCTCCCGGAGTATGAAAGACATGGCAGGCGCGCACATGGCACTTTTACGAGACTTGCTTCTGATGTGGGCTCAAGGGTGTTCAGCCAGGGAGGCCTTCCTCAATACAAGTCAAGGAGGGCTCAGTTCCAGGGAGAGTCCACACTATTATGGAACAACCCTAAACGCAGATTAAGGGTGAGATTTCTGCAGAAGAAAAGGCAAATACATAAAATTAATAACCACAAAGGTTGTAAAAGCGTAGCGCCCTTTAGGAGCCTTGTAAGTTGCCCCGAGCCATAGCACGCCAGGCGACAACAGTACATCTAGGATTGCAGACATAGACAAACGGTGAGCATCTAGCATTCCTCTGGAAGACGTGGCACTGACTTAATAGCCATTAACTTTGTCTGAACTGACTCTTGGTTGGTGGAGAGTCATAAGGGTCATTCTAGAGCCACTGAAGTGTGTCTGTGGCAGGCTTCCTAGAATGTTTAACCCATGTTGTTCACTTTTCAGACATTGTCAACACAGCCCGTCCTGATGAGAAGGCCATCATGACCTACGTGTCCAGCTTCTACCATGCCTTCTCTGGCGCACAGAAGGTACCACCAGCGGCCAAGCCTTCACCATTAACCGTTCCTCTGTTCTTTCTTTCCAGCATCCTGCGTTCGTCTGACTTCTCTTGCAGAGGGCAGCTGCTTCCAGGAAACTGGGAACTCAAACCTCAGTTAGTTCAAGACCTGCTTAAGGGTCACCCTTTCACCACCTTGACTCAATAGGAGGTCATTTTGAGCCAAAAAATTGGTGCGTTCAAACAGAGCCCGAGGGGAAGCCAATATTATTTGGAGAAGCTCTGAGCGATGGAACTTAAACCAGTTGAATAAGGACTTGAGGGTTTGTTCCAGTAGGCCTCCAGACAGTAGCCCATGGAGAGACAAACTAAATTTAAAAGTACTTACAGATTTTGAGAATCTGTAACTCTTACTGCCTTTCTAAAAAAGAAGCTGTAGGAAACATATGAAGTTGCTGTTTCATAAATACAGTTTGTTGTAAATACTTCATGAGAAGGAAGGTGATTTCTAATTCTTTCCCCTTTCTTATTACCATAGTAATCAAGATAGTGGATAACTATTGAACTCCAGATTCCCATCCGTCCCAAGGCAGACTGGCCAACATTGCCCGTGAGAGTAGCTCCTCCCTATTGAGAGGGCTGGAAGTTCCCCACTTCCAGATGAGAGGTGATTCCCAGCTTCCAGGTCCTGTCCCTGCTGAGGTTTGGGTCCCTGTCTGGAGCACAGGCTGCCCCCTCCCTCCTCTGTTGCATGGCAGAGCGAGGCCTGGAGGATCTCGCCCCTGCACCTTTGACGCCTGCCTCCGTTTTTCTCTTTCCTCTTGCGCAGATATTGTAGGCACGCTCAGGCCCGATGAGAAGGCCATCATGACCTACGTCTCCTGCTTCTATCACGCTTTCTCTGGGGCTCAGAAGGTGAGCTTTGGCTGGGTTGGGCTGCTGGCTGCTGGTGCTGCTTCTAAAGGTATCCGATCCCTCGGGACTGTCGCTCACCCACCGTCTAAACCTCTTTTTCTGGAGCATGGCATTACACTGGCATGAGAGGGCTGGGAGAAGACGGACTCCTTTCGCTGGCAGCGTTGGGTGCCCGCTGGGTACGATCTAAAGGAGTCATGGAGGCAGTGGTGGAGGAACGGAGGCTTCTCCCCTCCTGGTCATCTCGGGCATGGCCCATCTCGGGCACGGCTTTTGGGTCCCCCCTTGAAGGAAACAGAGACCAAAGGTCGAAGCGCCTTGATGCGGACAACAAGCTGTAGGCAGCTCCAGGGTCTTCCTCGGTCGTCCTCCTCCTTCATGCTGGTTGCAATCGTTCACTTTTTTTTCAATGCACAATCCTGATTTTACTTAGTTTGTGGCTAGACCTCCTCCCTTCTCGCCTCTATCCCTTTTCTCTTTGGACTATAAGTAAACGTGTTGTCCTCTCCCTATATAAGGTATGGAATGGGATGTGTATGGAAAGGTTACTTTGTTGAATTACCGCTTCTCAAATCCAGCCTGGCTGGGAGTTCCGAGTTCTACTCCTGAACATCTAAGAACGCCAGGTTGGAGAATTGGTTTGCAAAGCGGATGCGACCCAGGAGTTTTGCAAAAAACAAATAACAGTTAGGTGGACTTGCAAAATAAAAAAAGGAACCACGTCCTGAAACAAGGTCCTTTTTCAGCACCGCAAAGAGGGACAAGAACAAACAGCTGCTAGAAAGTAACTTTCTAACCCCTGCCCTCGGCCATCTTTCGTCCCTTTGCTTGCCAGTGGCTTGTGAAGAGCTGCAACAGGGAAAATGCAGCCGGCTGCCTTGACTGCCAACAAGCTCCTTCCGGGTCACTTACCTGTGTGACGAGCAGAACAGCTGAGTTGGGTGCAGAGTGGATTTGATTTGAACCAGATCCATTTAAATCACTGCAGGTTGGATAAAAAACAGTGAGAGAGAGAGAGAGAGAGGTATTAATTAAATTGGATATTTTAAATTTAAATTGGATTTTTTAAAATTTGAAACAGGTTGCTCCGTAGAGATCCCCTGGCACATGGCTTATTTCCCCCCCTGCCTTTCCCAGGTAGAACAAAGCTCTTTTCTCTTCTTTTTTAAAATTTAAATAGGATTTTTTTTAATTGTTGATTTTTTACCCACCCTGCTGTAATTCCAATTGTGATTTAAATCGATTTGATTTAAATCAACTCCACCCTGGCTGGGCATCATGTGGAAGAGAGAAATTGCCTCGATTCCCAGGATTGGGCCCGCAGAGGTGTGTGGGGGGGGAGGTGTCCCTTCTATTTCTCCAGGGATGTCTCACGTTAGATCTGCTGCCAGTCTTTAGTGAAATATTTTCCATTAACAGTGAGGGTTAATTTATTGGGCTTTGAGTGTGCAAATCCTTTCTAGGCAGGAAGTGAGGCAGTGGGTCTCCGGCCAGCCGTCGCTCTACATCTTCCAGCTGGAGGGGGGGTTGTAGGTTCACAGTACCACTGCCACCCCAAATAAAACCCCTGAATTTGATGGCAAAAAGGTGCTCCCCTTGGGAGTTGCAGGGCCTTGGAAAGGGGGGGGATTTGAATTTCCAGCCTTACCCGTCTTTTTCCTAGTTATTGTCATGGTCCCTTGTGTCTGATCCCGTGCTTTGGGGACGCAGCTGGCCTGTTCTCTCCATCCGCTGTAATTGCTCAGCCGCTGCTGCCATGGAGCAACCCCGGCGGGTCTCCCTCCCTGAGCATGGCGTAGGAGGGCTTGGAACGGGGCACTTGTGAACCGGCTTTCCGCTTGCTGGCTCAGGGCAGAGTCAGAGCTTCCCCTGTATTTGCAGTGCTTAAAAAAAAAACCAACCTCGTCTGCTTTACTAATAAGACCTTTGGATCAAGCCGTTGTGTCCGAGGGTTTTTCTCTTGTCTTAAACCGTCCCTAACCTGTTGTTCTCCAGATCAGTTGGGCTGCAGCCGGCATCACTCTCCGATAGGACGCTTTGGTCTCCTCTAAGCAAGGCTTAGGTTCTTCCCCAAGCCTAAGGCTTCCCCTTTTGCTCTTGCCTGTGACCTCAGATCAGTTTAGAATCAGGGTCACCCTGTAGAGATCCCCTGGCCTGTCGCTTATTTCTCTCTCCCCCCTTCGCCCTGGGTAGGACAAAGCTCTTTTTTCCTCTTCTTTTCTCTTTTTTGAATATCCAGTTCTGTTGGCAACTCATCTCTTCCATGGCTCTCTCCCTCTCCCCATCCTTCTGTAGACCCTCTCCACCCTTTCTGTTGATGCCCGGCTTCCATCTCCTTCCCTTGGATTCTCTCTGCTCCTTGCAAGGTACTTATCTCTTGACTTTGCCCATCCCATGGCTTCTGTGCTGTTCTTCCCCCCTCTTGATTTCCGTTGAGCCACGTTTGCTGCGTGTTCCATGCGGGTCGGGGCTCTGTGTGTGTGTGTGTGTGTGTGTGTGTGTGTGTGTGTGTGTGTGTGTCTTCCCACTCCAGCAAAATTGGGAGTTTTTTGCTGGAGGAAGAGGGTACAATGGAAGGCTGGGGGCTACGGAAGCAGCCTGGGGAGATGTTTTGCACACCCGTGAACTGCAGGAATTAAAAGAGAACCAAGAGTAGGGCCTGCTGGACTTGCAATAAAATGCTTCTCTGAAGTGAACAAGGTAATAAGGGGAATGCTTTAGGAGACCCCGTAATAGTAAAGACAAATAGAAACGCCTAAATCCAGATGCGTTCAGAAGATACTAAATCACAGGCAACAAGAGTATAGAATTGTGGTTCAGCCGCACATCTCTTGGTTGAACTGTGCTTTTTTGGTGGAGTTTTGTCCAGTGTCTGCTGGGTTAATTTAGCATACATTTTTCAAAATCCAAACCAAAGAAGTGATTATAAGTAACAGAACAAGCTAAGATCCCAGCCATGGTTTGAAGTTGGCTTGGAATCGTGGCTTGTTGTTCCTGTTCTGCTAAGCATCGTTTCCTAGTTTGTGAAAGTCTAATCCACTCAAGAAGCATGCGATCACAGTGTGCCCAAAAGGGGAAAGGATGCAGTGGCATGAGGGTGGATTATGTACAGTGGTGTCTCGCTTAACGAGCGCACCGTAGAACAACGAAATCGCATAGCAATTAGGTTTTAGCGATCGCATATGTGATCGCATACCGATGGCCCCTATGGGCAAAAATCGCTTTGCGAAGATCGGTAAGCGTTTTGCTTACCGATCTTCGCAAAGCGATGCCATGGATCAGCTGTTTGGCGGCTCCAAAATGGGAAGGTGGATTATGTAGATGCAAGGTCCACCCATCCTTGGGTCTCAGCTGAGAGGTATTCTTCTAAATAGAGCCCAGGCCTGTCCTTCTCTCCTGCTGGTTCAATTGTCTCCTGGTTCCAAATGAAACTGCTTGGGTGGGAACTTTTGTCACACCCATAAAGGCAGAAGTCTGATGAATTGGGAACTTTAAAATCATCCCAGCCTGTGCGGGTGACTTCAGGCTAATAATTCGGGCAGACAGAGGATTCCTTCCCCTTGTGTAAGAAGCCTTAGAAGCCTAAAATGATCCAATGGGAAAAGACCCCAAGGGATCTCCAAACCCCTTCTGCCCATGCACGAAGCGGGAGAGAAGGAACCCCTCACAGCCTCCAAAAGTCTTAACAGAAGAGTCAGTCCAAGATTGTGGTCTGCCTACCTTTAAAATTGCCCTTTGTTTGCCCTGCTTCTGGACGTTGGTGGGTCTCGCAGGCCGTTTGGCTGCCCGTTTCTCTTTTCTGTGCTACACCTTTGCTTTCGGATCTGACAAGGCTTAACCATTGTGGCTTGCTTGTCTCTTCGACCATCGTTTCCATGCCCCCCGTCCCGTTTTTCTCCAGGCGGAGACGGCTGCCAACAGGATCTGCAAAGTGCTGGCCGTGAATCAGGAGAACGAGCACCTGATGGAAGATTACGAGAAGCTGGCTTCGGATGTGAGTGCCCGCCGCTTCCTTTAATGTCTCTTAACGATGTAAGCCACCTTGTGGGGGAGCCCTACAGAGCCTATAGGAAACTTTATTCTGGGGTCCCTTACATCTCAGCTGGCAAGACTGGTAAGAACCTCCCGGGGAGGGGAAAAATCAAAACCCCAATTGGCAAAGCAATATGGGGATTATAATAATAACCTTTGAACTGCAGAGCTGGAATAGACCCTAGAGGTCATCAAGTCTGGCCCCTGTCCAGGAGGCACCCATGGGGGGATTTGAACTCCCACCCTCTCTGGCTTTCTAGCCAAAGACTTAAGCCACGGAGTTTGGTTGCTTTCTTCTTTTGGCGTCTTCTCTTGGCATGCCATAATAAAGGGTGGCATGTCAATATTTCAGATCTATATTCTAAATAAATAAGGTCTTCCCAGCAAGCAGACTAAATAAACAAGGCCCATGCCCGATTGGGCTTCTGTTCCGTCGCCTCTGACCCTGCCTCTCCCATCGGCAGCTCCTGGAGTGGATCCAGCGCACCATTCCGTGGCTAGAGAACCGGGTCCCTCAGAAGACCATGCAGGAGATGCAGCAGAAGCTGGAAGATTTCCGTGACTACCGGCGGGTCCACAAGCCCCCCAAGGTGCAAGAGAAATGCCAGCTGGAGATCAACTTCAACACCCTGCAGACGAAGCTGCGACTGAGCAATCGGCCCGCTTTCATGCCTTCCGAGGGGAAGATGGTTTCGGTGAGTGCCCCAAAAGGTGGCGTTAAGGAGGCAGAGAGATTGTTGGGTACAGGGGTGAAGGCGGGTGACCTGAGCGCTATTTTTTTAATTGCTAAGTTAACTTGAGTTTGGAAGATGGGGCTGCTGGCTTGGAGTGCCAGAATGGGATGCTGAACTGCTGCTGGGCTACGTAGTCAGGGACACTCACAGGTGGAACCCAGGATCAGGGGAAAAGTTAATTTTCTAGGATTACAGCTCCCATGCTGGGTGAGGGATGATGATTATGATTAACAAAAGACACGCACAACTATACATCGAACAGTACTTGATAACAAAAACATAAATGACAAATACAGTCATAACTCAAATATACAGTATAACCCACTACCTTTGGGAATATTTATCTATATATTTCTTTATCAATACATTTAATCTTAATTTATATCACATACCCCGTCTCTTACAAAAAAATATAATGATTCTTGTGTTGGGGTATACCCCGTCTCTTACAAAAAATATAATGATTCTTGTTATAACCTTTATGTTTAGTAAGTACGTGTTCTTAAAAAAGGATTCCAGATCTCATTAAAACTATTTTCTTTCCATAATCCTTTTATAACTTTCAATTTGCAAGTTAATTTATCATTAATAGCTAGATTCCACATCTCACTATACTATTTTTCCAAACTTGGTTGATTATTATTTTTCCAGTTTCTTGCAAATAGGAGTCTTGCTGCTGTTGACATAATATTAATCAGTTCCGTTCTTCTTCTGTCTGAATGACTGTTTTCATATATATTCAACAATGCTATCATTGGAATCTTTGTATATCTGTCCCTAACATTTCTTTAATCTCATTGAACCCAACAATCCATTCCTTCTGTCTCTCTTCAGTGGGTGAGAGATTCAGAGGGTTGTCGTCCAAAACGGCAGTTTCTCCAAACTCTGCTCATGAAGCAGGGCAAAAGAGTTGGAACCTTCTTTCTCCCCGAAAGCTTTTCCTTACTTTCTCCCGCTTCTCTTTAGGACATCAACAATGGCTGGCAGCACTTGGAGCAGGCGGAGAAAGGTTACGAAGAGTGGCTGCTGAATGAGATCCGGAGGCTGGAAAGGCTGGACCACTTGGCAGAGAAGTTCAGGCAGAAGGCATCCATCCACGAGTCTTGGACAGAAGGTGAGCTTGTGGGGAGAGAGGCCCACACACGAACTTGCCTTCTGCCCGTCGGGCGCATCAATCCGTCTTGTCCAAAAAGCAGCATCTCCTCCAAACCGCAGCAGGCCTTCAGTGGCCCAGCTGATCTCTGTTTCTTAGCTGTATCCAGTAGCAATTGAACCAAGAACCTCCCCACCTCCAGAACATCTGTTTGGCAGCTTGAGAGAGGCAAGGTCTGCTCTCAAGCACCTCTAAGCGACCCAGGGCTTGGGAGGGGGGGGCAGTGAGATCTCAAGAATCTCATGGCCGTCAGGTGGCTAACAGCTCACGGGCAAGCTGTTTCAGCATCATCCTTTTAGATTCCGGTGCTGCTGCTTCTCCCAGCTGTTGTTCGGGCAGGAAAGGTCACCGTTGCCGCTGTTGACTGCTCCTTTCCAAAGTCAGTTGATACCAGAGGCAGAACATTGGGAAATAAAGCGTTAAGATAGGACCCTCCAGAGCCCCCTCACTAGGGCTAGGAAAAGAACCTGGCTGGAAATCCAGGAAAGCCCCTCGCAGTCAGAGTTAACAGGGCTGGGCCAGAGGGACCAAGGAGGCGAATCACCAGGTGGTTCCTTCCTTGCTCCCTCTCCAGTGATTCAAGCTCTCTAGCACTGAGTTGCAGCACCTCAAAGGCAGGAAGAATACCCAGGTTGACATTGCAGCCATGCACGTGTGTGTTTTACGTCGTTTGGTATTCAGACAACTGTTTCTTAGGGGTGTGGGGAGTTGCACGTTGCGTGGCGATTAAAAACAAAATTTGTTGGCAATAGGAAAGCCGCTGACTACTTCGCACCTGATGTCTTTTCAGAGTAAGGAATTTGTCTTTCCAGCACAGGATCTCCACTAACAAAGAACCCGGATAAGTTCAGAGAGAATCGAAGCTTGTCAATGATTTATCACCGTTATTCTTTGTGTGTGGAAGCCGGCGTCCTGCCACAAAGAAGAAAATCAGGAAAAAGGAAGCGCTCTGCCGTTTCCTACTTGTGAGCTTGTCCCCGGGGGGGTGTTCCATCAGTTGCTTGTCAAGAGAGAGGCCTGGCTGAGAGCCAACGTGGCAGATTTCTGCTGGTCCCCTTCTGTCTGCTGTAACAGACTGGGGGGACAGCCAGAGTCCAAACCTTTCAGACCAGTGTGAGTCTCTCTGTTCTGTCACGGTGCAAAGGCAGTCTTATTAGTGGTGACTCCTAGCAGGTGAAATAACCTGGGAAGACTTGTTTGGGCTATTTCTTTTCCCAGTTTTAGATGAGTTTGGAGGGCCTTTGGCTTTGAGCAGGGGTGTCTTGATGAAGTGTGAGGGGAAGCCACAGGAAATGTCTTGAGATTTGCAGAGTTCGGCTTCCCGAGAACCTTAAATGTTTTCATGAGAGGTTTTGGCAGAAAGAGCAAGATTCTGGCCCTTAGGGATTGCATCTCGGTACTTGAAAACATGGGGCGGAGGCCTGTTGAAATTAATCTCTGGGGCAGGGAGAGGGCCGGCCAAGATTTCCAGTACTTGGGGTGTTGCTCTTTTGACAAGGGGTGTAGAGCGATTTGAAATTGAAGATGCAATAGGAACACTCTGTGGGAGGAATCTTGTTTAATCTGTGCCGTTGGCATCAATAATAGGAGCCAACTCTTTCAGTGCATGTGATTGGCCATGGTGGATTTGTAAGCAGCTGTGGATGAAAAAAAGAAAAAGAAATCTAGGAAGCCACCTCACCTCTGGTCAGATGGCATGTCCATTTAGTCCAGAGATGTCTTCTCTAACTCTCTGATCTCTTTAGAAATAACGTGGGGCTGAATCTGGGGCGTTCTGCACCCAGAGCACGCCTCTCTTGTACTTAGGCACCTTATCCCAAACCGCTAAACAACTGGAATAATGTTCAGCCCTTCATTTGAGTGGCGAGTTAGCCCTGAGCAGACATTGCCCATGTTCTTTGAGGGACCTCTTGGCAGCCATGAGGGCTAGAGACTTTCCCCCTTTTAAAAAACCAAAGCAGAGATGTTTCAACCAACCAAACTCTGTACCAGAGACACCCCCCCTTCCCTCCCTCCTACGGAATATCTCCACACAACATAACCCACCTTGATTTCAGCTCAGGAAGCCTTTCACAATGGAGAAATGTCCCAGCGTTGTGATCTGCTGCCAGCCGGCTGATATCCTACTGGTTTTATTGTTGTTGTGCTTCTGAACTTCCTCTGTGATTTTGCTGCCTAATGATATTGTTTTCAATCATTTTATAGTCACTATTCTTTATTAGGTTTTTTTTATATATATTTTAGACATTATGCTTCTTGCTCGCTGATTATGCAGCTGTTGTTGTTGTTTAATTAGGGTAGTTGTGTATTTTGCATTATTGTGATTGGTTTGCACTCTGACACTAGTCGGCTGGGATGGAGAGAGAGGTGGATAGACAGACGAATGAATGAATTGATGAGTGAATGAATAAAGCAAAGCCCATATGTGGAGCACGCCGGTCGTCCTATGGGGGAGTGGGTTCTGTAGTTCCTCCACACCCACCCACCCCGCCTTGCAGATCTAGAGGCATACTGGATCAGATTGGATTTTAAAGAACAGCTGCCCCATCTCTTTTCTTTAAAGAAAACAAAACAGGAAGGCTGCAAAACTAGAGAACTTCTCAGCCCAGGAGGCTCTCAGCCGGACATGTGGAGTTTCTCGGTGTGTCAGCCCCAGTTCTGAGCTGTGGCCGCCGCTGGTGCTGGTCCAAGGCAGGGTTTTTAAGTTGTTTACCTCCTTTCTGTCTGGAATCCTTTTGTCATCGGCCCTATTCTTAGCGCAGCTCAGGGTGGAGAAAATGTTATCAGCGTCCTTGCAGCTTCCTGTTGGGCACCGTCTGATCCACAGTAAATTCCTTTTTTTCTGCAGCAAAGTGGGGGGGAGGAGAAAGACAGCAGTGCCCCCCCCGGCTCCTCTCTTCAGGCTGCTGTCCTCTGCCCCCCCCTCCTCTGTGTAATTTCATCCATCCAACCTGATGGCAGTTAATTGGGGAAAGGCACAGCATGTCTTTGACTGGTCCATTGTGGCTGGGCGAGAGGGAGAAGTGGGAAAGGGAGCTGACACGATGTTCAAAAGATCATTTTAAGATCCCACCTGGGCTGCACACGATGGAGGCAAAGAGCATAGAACGCTCCCTCCTGAATGCGTCCTGCCCTTAGCTCAGCCTGGTAACAACCTCGAGCAACCCGAGCCGATAATATCTGGTTCTGATTCTTTTTCTGCTGAAGCCACGGCTTTGGAGGCAGAAAGTTTCCGAATGGCCATGAGGACTAGAAGCCAGGAACCATTCCAGAGTTAGCAGGCACCTGCTATCTATATTCTGGATAGAAAGCCCAATTTCTTCTGCCTTCTAAACTTCTGAAGACCTTTTGGTTTAGAGGTTAAGGTATGTGTGAATACATCAGAGTCCTGGTTTTTACCGCCAAACATGGGTCAGAGTAAGGTTAGCTGAAAAATTTAAATTCCATGGTGACTGAGGAGTGACGTGGCCTCTGTAAATTAAGCAAGTTCTCATAATGTGGTCTTTGTTCATCTTGCATTGTGAAATCCTGTGTGTGATATTTGGAGAACTACACAGAGCATGCAGGCGGCCTAAATTGTGTATCTCCTTTTTAAAAAAAAAGCCATAAAAGGTCAGAATTTTGGAATGGGGTTTGGAAATCTGGGCATTGTAAATATTTTTTTAAAGCCCATTTGTTTCATCTTGGCTTTAAAAAAAACACCTAAATCCTCGTGGTCTTCAATGACTAAGCAACCAAGTAAGCTATGAAAGCCGAAATCCATATTGGCCCTGAACGGCATAAGTAAGCAGCAAGGGGGAGATGCCGGCCGGCCGGCCGTGCAGGCCAGCCCTCCCACTCCTCCGCTTCTTCAGGTCAGAGAAGCAGGCGCTCAAGGGCTAGCACACAGGCCTGGCCCAAGGAAGCGGCTGCTGGCAAGGTGTCTCACCAATCTTCTTTCCTCTGAAGGCTGGTCCGTCCTCAAGCAAGCTTTCTTGCCTGGGGTGTTTGTCTTTTTCTTGTCTTGCAGCACCATTAGCAGGCTCACCCCCTTCTTGCAACAGCTACATCACGCAGGCAATGTCTTCCTTGTTGCCCCCATTCATTGCCCAGTCAGTTGAGGTTCGGGCTGGTGGTTCTGCTTTCCCGGGCCAACCTGCTTTTGAAATCGCCCACGCCTGCCGACGAGGGCCACAGACTGGCTCAGCATTAAAGGGGCCCAGATTCCCCCTCCCTTTGCAATGTCATGACTGCTTGTTTATTGGCTTGCCAGCCCCCCCAAGCAGGGGACAGAGAGCAGCAAAAGTGCCCTTAACACTATATTTCCAGTGATTCACTCCAGGGCTCGCTCACAGCACAAGAAGACCCTTCTGGTTTCAGTCTAAATGTTTCTGTTTGCTGCTTGCTTCCAGCCAGTCCCTGGAACCCCCCCCCCTTTGCCCCTGTACAGCGTGTGACTCTCTTGTTTGTCTGGACCGCTGCCTAGCCAGCAGGCAAGGGAAGATTTTTGCAAGCTTGAGCATGTCCTGGGCAACAGCTGATTGGAGCAGAAGACTATTTTTCAACCCTCCAGCAGCTCCGATTATTGCTCCCAACCCAAATAGCTTTTGAATGAACGCCAGGAACGCCAGCGACGCGCCAGGTTGCTAGCAAATGTGGCCGGTTCACTCGCCTCCCTCTCTCAAACCCTGCCGAGGCTGGGAAAGTGAGGTGGAAGGGGCAGAGGGGATGGGTTGAGAAGAATCCACTGGAGCCCAAGGCGTAGCCCTGCGTTCCGCAACCTCAGTTGAACGCCGCTCTCTCATTTCCTGCATGGCTGGAGAAAGCCTGGAATGCACTTCCTGTGTCTGGCCCCCGGGCAAAGGGATGACGGGAGGCCCGGACCTTGGAAAGTTAATTCTGGGGCGTCACAGCTGTCCAGATCCCTTAGCCGGCATGGCCAGTTAACCGTGCTGGTCAAATGGATTCTGGAAGCGACGGTCCAGAAAAATTAGATTCTCTGCCGCTTTTGGGCAGCCCCGACCAATGGCGACAAGAGGGCAGAAGCTGACAGCTGGACTGGCTGTTTTGGGAATGCTTCCGCCAAAGACGGTGGTTCCCGAACTTGGATCCCAACCAGATGTTCCTGGGCTAGAAATCCCAGAAGCCAAGGTTTCTGGGAAGTGTAGTCCAAAAACATCAGGGGACCCAAAGGTCGGGAACCTGTGCCATAAGCAAAAAATGGTGCTGGGAGTCCCAGTGGCTTCACATACTGGTTCCCTTTGGTGAAGGCTCGTCTTCAAAGCAAGCCCTGAGGAACGAGCCAGACACAAGGCAGAGGGCAGGACACATCCAGAAGCGCCTTTTGTGAGCAGGCCAAACCGTTTTCGTTTGGTGTTTTTTGTTTCGTTTTGTCTTAATGTTTAGGAAGATCCATCCTGTTTTTCTGTGTAAACTCAGGGCAGCCGATGAAACTCTCAAGACCCAGCGGGAGAGAAATGTACCAGTAAAGACAAGAATGTGGCTTAAAAACTTGTTTTTCTAAACGTTTCCCAGCTTTGGGCTGTGAGCGCCACGGGAAGCCTGGTGAGCGAAGGGGCCGGGACTCCTCTCCTGACGGGCTCTGAACAGTTTGCCTTTGTGTTCTCTTCTCCCTGCAGGAAAAGAGGCCATGCTGAGGCAGAAGGACTACGAGACAGCCACTCTGTCGGATATCAAGGCCTTGATCCGGAAGCACGAGGCTTTTGAGAGCGACCTGGCAGCTCACCAGGACCGCGTGGAGCAAATCGCGGCCATTGCTCAGGAGCTCAAGTAGGCTCTCCCTGCAAAAAGCAGCTCCTTTCTCCCAGGGAGTGGCTGTTTCCCCCCGGCTGTGTTCTCGTTCGCTTCCCAGGGCAAGGCTTAGAGAGGGACATTCCAGGAAAGCAGTTTCGGGCTAAGCATCAGGAGACGCTTGCTAGCCATCAAAGCTGGTCCAGAGCAGAGCAGGTTGCTCCGGTGCCTGGCATGGCCGAAGCAGAGGCCGGGGGCGGGGGGGCTTTTGAGGCTGCTGTAGCTCAGGGGTGAGCAAAAAGGGTCCCTCTGGATGGCTTTTGGACGGCCGCTGTCCGCGTTCCTCACAATTGACTGTGCTGCGTAGGAATGAATCTTAACTTTCCCATTCAAAAAAGAGGACATTTTTGTAGAAGGGCAGTAGATTGGGTATAGTAAGGATGTCAGTGCATGCTGTTCTTAACCTCCACGAGTTTCCAGCTTAACTCTCCTTCGCCTCTTCCCCCCCCCCTCCCGAGGAGTCTTAGGAACTGTTGTTTGGCAGGTGGCTATGGAATTTTGGTTAGCATCTCTCTCCCGGAACTGCATTTCCCAGAGTGCCCTGATCGTGGAGAGGAGGGGTAAAAGAGGAGGAAACCAGGTTGAAGTCTGTGGTGTGGGTGACCTTTGACTCTGAAGGACCCTTTCTTCTGCCCGTCGCTGCCCCTTTTTAAAATCATTTGTCGAAACCAGAGTAGAAAACCACCTTCAGGTTTGTCCCCCCCCCCCCCCCCGTTCCAGTTGTCAGGATAAGCAGTAGAAAATGAGACTGGTAGTTAAGGAAGCTTATGCTTCCATGCTCTTATTAGGAAATTATTAGAAGCAAAATGGCTAGGGGACGGTGTGCCACTCCCTGCAGCATTCTGTGTGTGTGTGTGTGTGTGTGAACGGTGTGCCACTCCCTGGAGCATTCTGAGTGTGTGTGTGTGGAAATAACACTGCCAATCTCTGATAAGATTTGTGTGCATCCTGTTAAGGACTGCCAGTCTATGATAAGATTTGTGTGCATCCTGTTAAGGAAACACCGTCAGCATCCCAGTCCTCATTCCCTCATGCTCACGTGTGTGTGTGTGTGTGTGTGACTTGATTCACCCCGCAGCGAAGGGCCGATACAAAGAGACGCTGTGATATTTTTGGCAAATCCGAAATAGCAGCCTTACCATTTTCCATGCGCTATTTAGGTTCCCTTTTCCAAAATGCTTTTGGCTGTCCCAAATAGCCAGCTAGGAACACCTCTTTTTTTGGAAAACACTCCTGAAAGGGTGTTTGCCTCTCCCCCTGGTGTGCACCCGCTCATTTCCAAACACACACACACACACCCCTCAGAAACACATTGCATCGATTGTTCTACTTCCCTCCCCTGTTTGTGTGTCACTAGAATGCGGTTATTGTGCGGGTTTGCTGCAAACTTTTTCTCCTCTCCCTCCCGCCACCCCTTTTTCCACCCAGATAAATTCACACACAGTGAGTATACACAGCGGCTGGAGCAGGGCTTCTCCGTCAATGGGAGGGCTTATTATCCCAGTGGCTGGGAACCTGGAAACAAGGATGTGTGTGGCCTGGGAGTCTGACTTCATGCACAGAGAGAGAGAGAGAGAGAGACGGGAGCATGACTTCATGCACAGAGAGAGAGAGAGCGCCCTCGTGCAATCGCCTTCTATAAGGAAGGCACCCTTTCAAGGCAGGCTGGGAAGTCTTTTCCTCCTGCCTCTGTTGCCTGCAAAGCCAGCAGGAGAATGTTCCACCCCATGCCCAAGTCTCGAATCTGGATGTTAACACCCGCAGTTCCTGAGTTAGGGGTGCTGTTCGAAGCCTCGCACCCCATGTTTTCATCTGCTGGATGTTGCTTTAACTCCTCCACCACCACCACCCAGTATTTGGCTTGGCTTGGCCTTTTTTTTTGAGCCGCCTCCTGAACTGCAGGCGACGGCGTCATGGCCTTCCAGAGGAGGTCTGCTAAAAATGGCGTGCTCAGAAGTTCCTGGGGAAAATGCCACTGTAGAGGCAGGGCGCTGTGCCATCAACCGACACCCCCCTCCCCACCCATTTTTGGGCCGAGGATGATGGGGGGGAACCATAATTTGAGGGAGAGAGTGGTCTGCTCAGCATTTGGATGCCTTTAAAAGGCAAGGAGCCCCCTCTGGCGCCTGCAAGCTGTCACTGCAAGGCTTGCAGGTGGCTTGGAAGAAGTGGGGCAGAGAGGAAGACATCGCCCCCTGTGGCAGTCCTGGGTCCCGAATGCGCCGTGCTCCTCATGTGCTTTGCCACTTCCCAGCCACATCTTGGATCCTGTGTGGTCTTTTCTGGCAACAGCAAGGCAGAGTCTTCCAGACAGCTGTGCTTCCCTGTTGTCTCTCCCCTTCGTCTATGATATAAAGTCATCTTAGAACTGCATAGCTGGAAAGGCCAGGTCCTCCAGTCCAGCCCCTGTCAAGGGAGGCACAAAGGGGGAAACGAACTCCCAACCTCTGGCTCGTATCCCACTGAGCTACCGTAATTGCTAATTTTAAATGTAGTGACTCATGGTGTCTAGCGCTTTGCAGAGGGTTAGGGTTTCTGGAGACAGGTCTCTGCCCCAAGGAGATAACAGTCTAGCTCTCCAGATCACCCCTTGTGGTGAAGAGCACCTTGATGGCCCCTTATGGGATGGAAGGGCCAACATCTCCGTGCTTCCCCCCCCCATCTTCCATTTTGGTTAAGGGGGTTCTGGAAAGGGCCCGTCTAGCCTCTGACCTCTGAAAGGCCCCTCCTTGTCTCGCCGAGAGGAGAGAACACAGCCTTGGTCTGAAAACTCCTTGCCTACCCTGCAAATCATTCGGAAGTGGATCTGGCCCTCAAGTGACCCACTTTTTTGTTCTCTGCCCCACAGTGAGCTGGACTACTACGACTCCCCCAGCGTCAACGCCCGGTGCCAGAAAATCTGCGACCAGTGGGACTCGCTGGGATCCTTGACCCACACGCGGAGGGAGGCCTTGGAGGTGAGAGGGGGGGACTCCCACTTTTCTTCCCCTGATGTTTCAGTGCTCTGTGGGTTTTATGGGGGGTGTGTGAGAGAACAGCCCATGTCGCCGACTCTTAAGCCCTGAGGGTTCCCCGTTCCCCCTGCGCAGAAAACAGAGAAGCAGCTGGAGACCATTGACCAGCTCCACCTGGAATACGCCAAGAGGGCCGCGCCCTTCAACAACTGGATGGAGAGCGCCATGGAGGATCTGCAGGACATGTTCATTGTACACACCATTGAGGAGATTGAGGTAGGGAAGGGGCCTCCAGGGATTGGGACCCCCTTCGACCTGTGGTCTGAGCCCGGGCGGGGTGACCTCCAAGACTGGGTTCTCCCAGCAGGCCTTCCCCCCCTTCCCATGACATAGCTTCCTTTTCCCCATTTTGATCCTGTTTTCTTTATTCATTTTTATTGTTCTTAATCACAAATGTTATTCGAAGGCTGTTTTCATCTTTATAATTCTGTCAGCCACCCAGAGCAGATTCCCGAATCTAGATGGGATTGGGGTAGAAATTTGAACAAACAAACTCTAGAGGAAAGCCACCGACGTCTCTGGGTTGCAAGCAGGAACAGCTCTTTCTGCCCAAGATTAGGGCAATGACAGGCCGTCGGCTTCAGTGCCTCGCTGGGCTTCACGGTTGCGCCAAGCGAAGCAGGTCTTGGCTGGGGACGCTGACGGAGCCCCTTCGCCTCTTTCCACCCAGGGTCTGATGGCGGCCCACGACCAGTTCAAGTCCACCTTGCCTGATGCCGACAAGGAGCGGGAAGCCATCCTGGGCATCCAGAGCGAAGCGCAGAGGATCGCCGACTACAATAACATTAAGCTCTCCGGGAACAACCCTTACACTTCGGTCACTCCCCAGATCATCAACTCCAAGTGGGACAGGGTAGGCTGAAGGAGCCGTCGGCTTTACTTATCATTATTGCTATTGTTATAATTGTGGTTAGAAAATATTTTTGTCCTGTCTTTCTCCTTAAAATGAGCCCAAGGCAGCCTGCGTCGTTAAAAAGATAATATGTAGAAGCTAAAAACAGTAGGTATACAAATCAGTGCTAAAGCACATTTAAAAAAACCAATCCATTAGAAAAAACCCTCAGACCATCCATTATTAAGGGAAAGTCTGCCTAAAGAGAAAGGTCCTTCTTGTCAATCAGAAGGCACTGCTTTGGTAAGTCGGGGCGGCTGTTTTTTGCACCCTCGTTGGAGTAGCCAAGATTCCCAGGAGGAAAGGGGGATAACAAATGATGTGCATGGGGAATTCTGGGTATTGTAGTCCAAGAACCCAAACAAAACGAAAAAGGTGTCTGGAAGCCGACATATGGTTTGGAAAACAGCTGGGGTGGGTGTAAAAATCATTGGGAGCACAAGCTCGGCCGGGGTGGCTCGTGGTGGTGGTGGGGGTTGCATCCAAAGCCAGGCCTGGCCCCTGAGTCTGGTTTGGCCCTTCCTTGAGCAGGTCCAGCAGCTGGTGCCGAAGCGGGACCACGCCCTGCAAGACGAGCAGAGCAAGCAGCAGTCCAACGAACATTTGCGCCGACAGTTTGCCAGCCAGGCCAACATTGTGGGGCCCTGGATCCAGACCAAAATGGAGGTGAGGGGCTCCGTTCGCTTACCCGTTCAACACCCAACGGGCGGGATTTGGGAAGGAAACCTACGTGGGACGGCTGGGAGCGGAAGTGGACTTGATGTGGTTGACCCCGTGAGCTCTCAAGCGATCACATCCTCAACTCAAAGGGTTCCCTAGCCATGGACTGATGGAAGACATTTATCTTCCCTTCTCTTTGTCCCTCAGCCACTTGGGGGCGAGGAGGAACCGCGTCTGCGTCACCACCCGCATCCGTGGGCACAGGGGCAGAACTTTCCTAAGCGTTTGGCAGACATTCTTGTCACTCAAGATGTCATGCAGGACATCTGATGTCCTGCATGACATCATGCAGGATGTCATGCAGGACATCTGATGTAGCTAACTATAGGTTGTTTTTCGATGGGTGACCGGGGATGCAATGAAGTTATAGGTCAGCAGTAACACAATATAAAGAAATATTAACTGATTGATACAAGAAGCATTTAATGACGTTCAAAAGTACCTTTAAAAGGCACTCTTAAGATATGTTTAGGAATATTTTGGCAGGAAATTTTAAGTTCCTCTGCTGTTCCCTTTTTGCTCCTGTGCATCAAGGGAAATATTGTTCTATTGGCTTCTGTATTTTAGTAAACATTTTCAAGGTGGTGGTTATTGCTCTAATGTGCCATCAACTCACCCTCATCTTATGGCGGCCCCATGAATGAGCCATTTCCAAAATATCCTGTCCTCAATAGCCCCGCTCAGCTCTTGTCACCTCACGCCTGTGGTTCCTATAGGGAGCCAATCTGTCTTGTATTTGATCTTCCTCTTTTTCCATTGCCTTCAACCTCTTCAAGGTGCACTATCAGAATTGGCCACTAGAGGGAACCAGAGGGTGTAATTCCCAGCATTTTTTAGGCATGCCCGCTGTGGACACATGACACGCCACCCCTTCACCGAACTGCCTTCGAGAGCGAGGCCCCGATCCCGGGTCCCGGACACACCTGCTCTGACGCAAAAGAACAAGGAACTCGGAGCGAAGTTCCCAACCCTCACCCTTTCCTTCCCCTTCCCAGGAGATTGGGCGTATTTCCATCGAGATGAACGGTACTTTGGAGGACCAGCTGGACCACCTGAAGCAGTACGAGCGGAGCATCGTGGATTACAAGCCCAACATCGACCTCCTGGAGCAGCAGCACCAACTCATCCAGGAGGCCCTCATCTTCGACAACAAGCACACCAACTACACCATGGAGGTGAGGGCGGCCCCGGGGAGTTCGGTCTTTGGAGGGTTCGGGGCCCGCCTCGGGAGATCCGAGGTGGGACTCGCTTGGGCCTCTTCCCCTCACGCTCCCCTTCTTCTGGCTTCTGCCTCCAGCACATCCGTGTCGGGTGGGAACAGCTCCTCACCACCATCGCCCGGACCATCAACGAGGTGGAGAACCAGATCCTGACCCGGGACGCCAAGGGGATCAGCCAGGAGCAGATGCAAGAATTCCGGGCCTCCTTCAACCATTTCGATAAGGTAGACACGGTCTGAAGGCAGGGCAGTAAGAAGCTGCTGCGCCCATCCTTTGGGTGTTTTCCTTGCCTCCGCTTCTTTATCTCTAAGACAGAGAGCGTCTAGCTTCCAAAAAAACCCCCAAAACCCCAGCAGCCAGTGGCAAAGACAAGCCGTTTTCTTTACACAAACCCTTGTCTGAGCCTTTGGGCAGCACCCTGAGGAGCATGAGAACTGACCTCCTTTGAGGTTTTAATTTCTGAAGAGAAGATGTGTGTCTGAGCAGTCGTGCTTGCAAATGAAGCCTGGGTTGGTCCTCCAGATGCCCAATCAGAAAAAGCAGGCTTCGTTTGCAAACTACAAGAGGTGTGAAAAAACAGGCGGCTTCTCTGAACCTGGAAGGAATTCCCTCTTTCAGGGCTGTGCGATCTGTCATGTGTAGCTTGACCCTTTGCTGTAAACGTGTAGCTTGACCCTTCAAGGCACTCTGAATGCAGTTGCTACTGGGAGGCAGAGGGAGTGCCCTTACTTAGCTCTTCCAAAAATCAAAAAGCATAAAAAGATGTTGCTCTTATGCAGCTTTTCATTTCTGAGGTCCGAAGCAGCGTTTCGTCCAAAAGAGTCAGACAGGAGTTCTGAGCCGTTCAGATACGCTCTATTTCTTTTCCCCCTGATCCTTCATCCATAACTTGGTAGGAGTTTCTGTCACAAGCATCTGGAGTTCCAGAAGTTGGGAAGAGGGGCTGTTTCATCTCGCTCTGCCGGCCAGTAATAGCGGGATCCCACACCCCCTTCTGACCACCCTCCTATTGGGAGAGGAATGTGTTCACGTAGCCTCCCCCAACCAGTAGTCCTGCAAATGAGATTTGCTGCAACTCCGAGTGTGCTCAGGTCATCCCAGCCCTCGACCAGGCTGGTTGGGGACGATTGGAGTGGTAGCCGGCCTGAGTGGTCAGGCACTGTGAGAAACAGAGGGTGGATTTTCCATGTCCGGCTGCCTCGGTGTGTTCTCGTAACCTCTGGCAGCCGCCGAGGACTTAGAACCAGCCTCGTCTGAACCAGCCGTGTGTTTTGCATTTCCCTTGTGGACTGGGGAAATGCCTTTCCAGGTCTTGGCTCATCTGCAGGACCAAGGGCTTGGTGTGAGCAGAGATGGAAGGAAAGTCCCCCAGGGTGGGGTTGGGCTGATTTACCGCCTGCCCGGCTGAGAGGGCTCTCGGCCCTCCTCCCGAGGGGCTCCTGCCGGCCGACGGGACCTGGTGTTGATCTTGAACTAACGGCCTATCTTTTCCCCTCCGCTCCACCGCCCTGTGTCGTGGGCGCCTGGGCCTTGCCTCCTCTCCTTCCCTCGGCTTGCATGCCACGTCCTCCGTCACTCGGTGCGCCTGACCCCGTCGGCAGGACCACGGCGGCTCTCTGGGGCCCGAAGAGTTCAAAGCCTGCCTCATCAGTTTGGGATACGATGTGGAAAATGACCGACAGGTACCCTTTGCCCATTCACCGCGGGGCCTCTGGCGACGTTGCGATTAACCAGATCTCCTTTCTTTCTTCCTTCACCACATTGTTTCTCTCTCCTCTTCTTCTTCTTCTTCTTCCGACCATCTTGTTGTTAATGTTTTTTCCCTCTCCCCCCCCCCAAACTCCGTGTGCCTGTTCCTCCCTTCCTGCTCATCTCCTGGTTACATGGCATCTCAATGACTTTTCCTGACTGACCTTCTCTCTCTGCGTCTTTTTCTCCCTCCATGGGGCTGCTGTGGCTCTTTCCTCCCACCTCTGCATGCCTTCTCCATCTGCAACCTCCTTCCTTCCTTCCTTCCATCCATCCTTCCTTCTCCTGCTGGCCTCTCGGAATAGAAGCGCACGGGGAGCATGGATACAGATGACTACCGAGCCCTCCTTATCTCCACGGGATACAGCCTGGTACGCTTTCTGCTTTGCCCTTCTCTCTGCTTTGCACTGTCAGTGGTGGTGCTGATGTCTCCAGGGTTAAGTTCCATCTATCCTCTGTTACAATGGGCGTATGAAAGATCTTGTTTTTGACAGTGATATGTTTTGCAGAGTCAGTTAAAGGCTGAAAAATTATATTTGAAGATGTCTGTAAGGTGAAGGGTGAACTAGGACAGAATTACAAAAGGATGGGTGTCTGCTAGAGCTGCTAACTGTGTAAATTTTTGAAAGCAGGTTTGCATTTTAACCCGTTTCAGAGTAAAGAGATCTGCATATTACTGAAGCTTCAGCAGGAGAGCCTTTTCAGCAAGGCAGAGGCAACAGACGTGAGAGCTTGAAATTGAATAGACAAAAGTTATTGATTCTTTTTAGAAGGAAAAGCTGTCTTTAATTCTTTTTTTCATTGCCCAAGTTGGAAGTGGCTCAGTAAAAACCTAAGGGTCACCTTGACGTTATAGCCCAACCTGGTAAAACTGACCACTTAACTGACGCTTTTTGCTCATAAACATTGGGTGGAAGGACGGCAGCCCAACCATCGGTTGATAACTTTCAAAGCAGACGGGCCTTCGCCATGGCTTGCTTACTGGATTAATTTGAGAGGGAGGAATGGAACGTGGGCTTCCTTCATGCAGAATGGAGGGCTGCCACAGACATGTCATTTCCGCCCTGCTCTCGTGTAACCATGTTTGGGAGGAAAGAGAAGAGACGAGCGTGGCTTAAATCTTGATGCTGTTCCTTCTGTATTAGTTCTAGCATACCTTGGCATTTGAGAGGATGCTGATCCGAACACTGCAGAACACCTTTTCTCCCCAAATTTGTTGTTAAAATTTGTGGCGTGTGAATTGAGGCCGTTATTTTATGACAAAGCAGTGGACGCGTGGGGAAGCTTTTTACATCAAGCTGTCCTCGCCAGTGCCACACCACCTGTGTCGTGGCCTCTGGCATTCCCGAAAGGCTGCTGGCCTTTTGCAAGAGAATTGAACCCCTTTCCCCCTTGTCCAGGGAGATGCAGAGTTCAACCGGATAATGAGCGTAGTGGACCCCAACAACAGCGGCGTCGTGACCTTCCAGGCTTTCATTGACTTCATGTCCAGGGAGACAACGGATACGGACACGGCCGACCAGGTCATCGCCTCCTTCAAGGTCCTGGCTGGTGACAAGGTAAGCTCAGCAGAAAGGCTAAGGCCATCTGGGAATTCCAAGGACTTCCCCAACCCCAGTCCTAGAATCTTTCATTTATTTAGACCCAAGTTTCTAGCCCTCAAGACCCAGAAGAAATGTTTGAAGGTTTACAGGCTCTTCCACCTGAAACCGCCAGACAAGTAGCTTAGCAGGGTTTCCAGTGATTAGGACCTGGGGGTTTCTGTGCCTTGTACGGCTTGCGTCCACTGCTCCATGTGAAGCTTGTCTTGAAAATGGCACAAAACGGTGCTTCCATTCTCACATATGCATAAAGCTTGAGAAATGCCTTACAAGTAACTTGAAATGCCTTTAAAAGGGAACTTTTAAAAGTAACTAGAGAAACTGAAGAAAAGGGGTGGGTGAAACACCTTTATTCAAATGATAAAATGTCAAACAGAAGCTAGTTTTGCTTCTTCAACTAGAAAAAGTTACTCATTAGGTGCATACCCAGCAACTTTGAGACTACCCATTATGTTGCTCTTGAAATGTATCTTAGGTATGCCCTTGTTACAAAAAGAGTAACTAGTTGTAGCTGACCTTCTGCGTGTAACTAGTTACTCTCAAGCTGTAGGCAGTCCTAGAGAGAGGCGTTGCCCAATGTGCCGAGGCTCATGGGGGCATTTTTAATCTCTCCTTTCCTCTCCTTTCCCCCAGAACTACATCACAGCTGAGGAGCTGCGGCGAGAGCTTCCACCGGACCAGGCCGAGTACTGCATTGCCCGCATGGCACCTTACCAGGGGCCCGACGCCATTCCCGGGGCCCTCGACTACAAGTCCTTCTCCACAGCCCTGTATGGCGAGAGCGACCTGTGAGGAGGAGGAGGAGGCGGTGGTGGAGGCGGCAAGCGCTGGCGCTTCTTTGTGCGACGGGAGGAGGGAGCAACCGTCTGATTTCCCTCAATGCTGTACACACATACACACACGTGGCACACACACAAGCACACACACACGGGACATCCTTTTCTCTCTCTCTCTCTCTTTCTCTCTCTGACGAGAGCAGCAGCCTCCACGTCAGGGCAGCCCCGCGCACCACGCTGGTTTTTCCCGGCGAGCCTTCTGCCCCCTTCCAATGATCTATGCAGCGGTCCTCGCCCTCGTCCCTTGCTCGACCGAGACTTTTGAGCTCGGGAGAGAGAGACGCCCCGTCTCCTTTTGTCGCTGGGCGAGGGGAGGGCAAGTCCGGGTGCCCTTCGGCAAAAGGGGGGCCAGCCCAGGAGACGCGCCAGCCGACGTGGCTCCCGGGGCCAGTTTTTGCGAAACGGAGGGCCCTTCGGATTGTCCGCCCCCTCGCCCAGCGGGCCGAAAATGGAGGGGGACTCCTCGGCTGTCTGAAGTCAGATCCTTTTCTCCCCAGACTCGGTGGTAACTCTGACTCCTGGATCCCTCCGCCTGCCAGCGTGGGCAGCGTGGCGGTTGCTTCTTCCTCTCCCGTCACACACACACACCAGTGAAAGTCCTGGGGCACAGAGCCCTGTTTGGCCCACCGAAACCCCCCCCACACACACACACTGCTTTTATCCCAAACATGCACCCTTTCTGAGCCACGCGGATCCCAGCTCACGATTCTTAGGCGGGTCAAGGGGGCTCTTTTCTGGCCCGTTAAAGAGTTTCCGGTTTTGCCCAAACGGCTCTCAGATCGGACACCCCATGACAGCACCAGCACATTCTCTCCTTTTAGCATCACCCTGGCTTCATTCCCTTGACAAAGTGGGTGTTTCCCCCCCCCTCTTAATTTCAGGGCTCATTTACTGGAGGAGGAGGAGGAGGAGGAGAGAAATCTTTTCAAGGAAACCAGCCCTTGGCAGCGCCCTACAAATTTGAAACAAGGGAGTGGATTGAGACCCATGTCTCCTTGCGTTTCTCTCTCTCTCTCTCTCTCTCTCACCGCCAGCTTTTGGTTTACAGATCCCTTCCGGATTCGGTGAGCTAAAGGTTCTAGCATCCTAGCCCCTGTATTTCAGTCTGATGAGCCTGTTCTTCCTCTCTCCACACTCATCATCCCCCCAAGCCCTTGGTTCCGTATATTATTTCAGCAATACTGACACAAACAGAAGGACAAGCACAGAGCAGGTTGTGAACGTGTGCTTTCCGAGTGGAACTGGAAACCCAGCGTCTCCCTTCAGCGCCGCTCATCTCCGAAAGGGGATGATTGTATTTGGTCTGGTCCCCCCGTTTTGCACACCCTTTCCGTCGGGTTGGGGTTTGGCGTGGTCGGGAGAGAAATGCAGCAGGGGTGGTCGGTGCATGGGGGTTTAATAACAAAACTCGGACCAGCTGTCAGACTAACAGAAGGCTTAGAGACTGCAAAGCGAGTTAAAAAAAACGAAGCAAAACACTTTTCTCGGGGTGCCTCAGAAATCGGCTCAGCTGCTCCCTCTTCCCTGTTGGGCGGGAGCATCTTGCTCGTTTCAGTCTTCCTCACTTTTTTCTTCACTCTGAACAGCCCTCGAAATCCATTGCTTTTCACGCTTATATATATTATATATATATATCTATTTTTTTGTAATTTCTTCATCATGGTGCAGGGTTTTCTGAGGACCAAATTTAAACGAAAGAGAACCATGTAGAGATCTTTTTTTAAGAAAAGACTGAAATTAAAAACACAGCAAACTGTTGCAATTTAATAACGTCCAGATTTATTATTATTAAATATATATATTCATCTAGCATCGTATATTGCCGATGGGTGGATTTTTATTTTATTTTATTTTATTTTGGTCTTTTGTCCTTTCATCATGTCCTTTAAGGTTATGGCTGACTGTAGCACTGGAAATTGTAACATTCCCCATATTCTTGTTTTTTTTCTTCCCGGAGATCATCTGTCTTTTTCGTTTTTTTGGTTCTCTGTTTTTGTTGTTGGCGAAGGTTTAGCTTATTTTCTTGTGTTTGCTACTGAATGCCTGCCTTGTGGAGGGCAGATGCTTCAGCCCTTAGGGAGTAGCCGGGTTCTGTCCGCCTCTGTCCATCATCATCATGTCTACTCTAAAAACCTCTAAGCTTTCTGGGGAAACCAACCCTCCTCCCTCTCGGGAAACAAGACAATAAAGTGTAATATTTTTAAGGATGATTTATCTGCTGTCATTTTTTTTCGCTCCCGTCTCCACCCTTTTGCTGTATGTTGTCATTCGCACAAACCTGCCTTATCCCAGGTTAGAGGGACAGGCCTTGGGACTCTGAGCTTTCTCTCACCCGACATGTGTCGGAGGCAGGCGTGGCCATCGAAAATGGCGTTAAATCCGTAGATGTTTTCAGGGCTTGGTAGGGAAGCATTTCTGAAAGTGCTCCTAATCCAGCCGCGTGAAGCTGTATCTGTCCTATTTAATCCCTGCTCCTCATTATACCATGGCCGATAAACCAGTTTGACCAGAAAAACTTGGGAGGACTGGTCCTGTTTCAACCGTTTGGATTTCGGTCGCTGAGGCAGAAATCCCTGACTCTGAAATATCTATTGGATATAGACAGGAGTGAAAACGTCTTTCTGGTTTGCAGGGTCTTAGCCGTGTTCGCCCTGCCTTCTAGGCTCGCTTTGCTCTCAAAAACCCACACAGGCGACCCTCCTGTGTACCGGCCTGTCACATTGAAACCCCCTTCCTTTTTTTTTTAAACAATTGTGGTTTCCACAAACAAGGTCACAACCCTCACTTTGTTCCCCTTAAGTCTCAGAACCTTTTCTTCCTTCTCGTTTGCAAAGTCTTAGCCGTGTTCGCCCTGCCTTCTAGGCTCGCTTTGCTCTCAAAAACCCACACAGGCGACCCTCCTGTGTACCGGCCTGTCACATTGAAACCCCCTTCCTTTTTTTTTTAAACAATTGTGGTTTCCCACAAACAAGTCACAACCCTCACTTTGTTCCCCTTAAGTCTCAGAACCTTTTCTTCCTTCCTCTCCACTGGAGAAGGAAGTTACCAGAGTATAGAGGAGAACGGATGAGGCTCCACCGGGAGAGATCCTTATTCTGGAAGACGAGGACTGTGAGTTTGAAGGCACCGAGGTGTGCGTTGAACAAGATACGGCCTGAACCACCCTTTCTTTTAATTTTTAAATTTATTTATTTGTGTTCTTGGGCCCGGGGGGAGATAAGAAAAAAAAAATCCAAACAACTCCTGTACTGTAAAATAAAATCAGCCATGGAGAAACTGCTGCCTTCTAATTCCAGAGGTTTGGGTGTTTCTCTCCTGAACATGTGGCATTAATAAACTCCCACAGACGAAAGCCTGTCTTCTCAAAGACGAGCCAATTTTATTATGGGGACAGACGCTTTTGATGCAAGAGCTGGCGGCCACTCCGCAGAGGCCACTCCTGCCTGTTACGATAGAAGCTGGGACTTGAGCAAGAAAGCTTTGATGGCAGGAATCCTCTTGCACAATTGTGCACAAGATCAAAATAGTGTCACCCTGCGTGCCCTATTTTCTTATCCCCACAGCAGTCAACCGCCCCCCAATTGTATTTTCCACATTTTCTCTGCTTCATCTACCCTTTTTTTTGCCTAAAAAAATTCACATTCCGCGGGAAAAGAATAGACTATGCAAAGGAGGATCGGAGACTGATCCGAACGCATCACTTAATCTTATTGCTGCATTTCTCTCTGCTTCCTCTCATGCGGCGCACAAACTGCCTCCATTTTGAGGGAGGCTAGATGACCGCCAGTCTGCGTCCTCCCTTAACGGGCTTGTCGGCCTGCCCTATATCTTGGTGGCATGAGGTTCCTGCTTTCGCTGCTCTTTTCCGAGACAAAGGTCACCTCCTTGAGCCTGATGTCTCCTTTCATTTCCAAGAACCGGATCTTCTGTGGGCTGAGACGGTGGTCAAACTCAAACAGAAATTTATCGTTCTGTAGGATCTGGGAAAGAAAAAGACAGCATGAGTCTCCAACCCTTATAATAATCCCAGATGGGAAGCAGTCTTCCCAGATCCTTTCTCTTGCTATGACCAACAGAAGGAACTCTATTGGATTTCAGACACCGTTCATTCCTAGCCTAACCTGGACGTCTCTTGACATTTCTTGATGACTTCCCATGCAAGTTCTAACAAGGATGGGCCCTCCTCAACTTATGAGATGGGTGTGTTCAGATGGGTACAGCTCTATCTTGGAGGTACTTGAGTTACCCTCCTGCTTTTACATCCCCTACGGGCCTTAATTTCTGCACGAGCATCTGTGGTGGACCTTTCCTCGATGGTCTACTACCTGATAAGGCAAGACCTACCCCCTTGTTTATCTCTAGCACTTGGCTGTTTAAAGCTAGACTGCTTCTACAGGGGTGGAGGGTTTAAGACGGGGAGTGCGACCACGTCCAAGGCCACCGCGTGTGTTTCGTGGACAAGGTGGAGTTAGAACGTAGCTTCTTTTCCATGTCCTCATAGTAGAGCAAACCTGCCATTACACCATCTGGACAGGGCATTCAGTTGAGCAGCCGTGCTTGCTTGGTGTGAAAAAGCCAAGTCCTTTGCTCCCATTCTAAATATCTAGTTCATCCGGGCGATGGGCTAGGTTAAGGAAATGCCGTTCCTTCCAAGTGGCGATAATGTTCTGCCATAGATGCAGCTGGACAGCTGCTGCCCTCCACATGTTGGGATATATATAGCCAAGTATTGGGTGGTGGGAGATGTCCCACCTCTGGAGGTCCATCATTATCCCAACCCTTGCACCCCAATTCAATACTAAAAACGTTTTAACTTTCTCTGGTATAAATGAACCTTTGGTTCCTGGCCCGAACCCGCCCTCTCCTCTCCCTCATTGCATAAGGAGAACATGGAACCCCCCCCCCAAGCATTCAGAATGCAAATGGCTGTACTACCTTGTATCCTTCCCCCCAGTTGTTGAGGATGCAAATGGCTGTACTACCTTGTATCCTTGGCTGGTGACAATAAATTGCACCTTGAACCATTCGCCTCTCCGGAGGTCAGTTGCCGCCTTCGTCTCGATGCCCCACAGGCCCTCTACGAAGCTGTTGAGGGAGGCCGTGGCAGGAGACGACGGGTCCCCCTCAAAGCTGAGCTTGAACCTCAGGGCAATGTTAGCCCCACGGAACTGCCCGTACGCCAAGTCCAGTTGGATCCTGAGCAAAAGGAAGAGAGCATCAGCTCGGGTCTTGCTGGGTCAGACCCAAAAGCGTCTCTACTGCAACATGGTTTTCATCCCGTGCTCATCTGGCTGCCGAGGGGAACTCCACAAGCAAGATCCGAAGGTGGAAGCATCCTTGCCCCTAAGGCTGGCTACCACTCGATACAGAAAGACAACACATTGCATCGAGTACTGGAAGGGACCGTATATCGAGCAAGACCATCTTCCATGAATGTGTCCAGTCTTTTAAAGCCACTCAGCATTGCATCTTGTGACAGTGAGTTCCATAGCTGGAGTCTGCCGTGTGCAAAAGAATACGTCCTTTTATTTGACCTGGATCTCCTACTTCTTGGGGGAATGACTGAATACCAGTTCTAGTGTTCGTGAAAGAAAGAAAACCTTGCTTTGTCTACACTGTTCATAATTCTGTACCTTTCCATTTGGATCCATTCGCTTGTCTTTACTTCTAACCTAACTCGCATCGAACGTTGTAACCCTTTCTTGATGGGAGGCAACCTTCAGCCTCTTGACCATTTTGGTTGCTGTTCTCTGTGTTGTTTTTTGGACATCTTTCCACCCCTTTCCGTGATGAGAACCAATTTCATGGAGGTGGGTTTGGTTCCCCAAAATTTTCTGCCCATGAAATGCCCACAGACTCTCCCTCCAGGATTCAGAGGGCAGATTCACCAGCTGAACAGAAAGGCCTTTCAATACCACGGGAATTGGGACATTGAACATGAATAAATAGGCACATGTACATGCTCCCCTTTTTTTTTGCCTAGTCTCATCTCTTGGCCTGGCTTGCATTCCTTAATTCCTAATTAGAAGAAGGCTTCTCTCAGGGGTGACCTTAATTCCTTAGTGAAGAGGCACTCTGCCCATGCCCAGAAACAGTCATTTTCAATCAGTCGGGGAACTCAAAGGCCTGCACACATTGGATAATACCCTACGCTAGCTAAAATATTGGGATCCCTCCCCTTTGTTGTCTTCCACCAGATGGAAGACACTGAGAGGAGAAGGATTTCAGAATTAGCTCCGTAAAATAATAGTTCCTGCCTCCGGCATAAACAGCAAATAGTTGAAGCCAATAGTTCTTAAGGAAAGAGGGTTGGCAGGGGTCTTACCCTTGGCTCTGCTGTGGAGCGAAGCCTTCCACCAGGACCCAAGACCCCGAGTCTAGGCCAAATGGGATCGCCCGGTAGTAGGGCAGCTCCTGTAAGAGAGACATGGACGGATCAGTTCTGGTTGAATAGGCTTCTAGTCCTCTTGAGAACAGAAGACACCAATGCTCAAAGGTAAAAAAAACTCTTTAGCCATTCTTTCAATGAGACGATGGGTCTGTGACTTCCGTGGCAAACAGCTGGGTCCCCTCCCCGTCGGGCTTTCATCATCCCTCTGCTTTGGCCACGCTGGTCTAGGAGGAGTGGGAGCTGTTGGCCAAGGACAGACCGATTGACCCCCCAAACTGCCTATTCAATAAGAGCTCAAATCCGTTTCAGACCAAGTCAGATTCTGAACCTGCAGCGACGCTTTGAAAATCCCCCTGTGAGGTCATTTTCTTCTTTACTCTGATGCCATTTGTTCCGAAGAACAGACTTCCTTGTGTGTAACCAAAGCCTGGTTTGTGCATCTCTACTCCTTTCTGGAAAATACACCTAGGCTTAGAATCATTTTTATATTAAAAAAAAAACATGGATGGAGAGTCCATGGCCCTCTGGATTTTTTTGCAACATCAGCCTTGCCAGGAGAGTCAGTGGATCATAGGAGTGTGATCTCACAACATCTGGAAGGTCACATATACCTCTCCTGCACCCACCCCACCCCCGGTGTATATGTTCAAACTACAACTCTTACTCTGCAACCATGTGGCTGAAGGATGTAGGATTTTAAAAAAAAATTCCAAGCTATGCTTCTAACAGGGACATGAAGTCATTTTTTAAAAAAAAAAATCTGTATAATGTTGTTTTTAAAAAGTACAGAATTATTGACATGGAGTGAAGTGTGTCATTAATACCGTGCTTTAAAAGCGATGTTGGTGTTGATTATCAGTCCTAAGGAATCCTGGGAAATGTAGTTTGGGAAGGCTAAAAGGGAAGGGATTAATGGGTTTTCCCTCTTCACGTCTACTCCCCAAAACTATTTTCACAGGGACGTGGCAAGCTGGTTTCAGAACTGGTTTGTGAGTGAAGAGGAGAGGACGGGTCAGTTTGACACCGGGAAGGGAAAACCTAAGCTGACGCCCAGAGGAAAGTGGGTTGTTTTATCTCAACTTCCATCACAAAGCTGTCCTTCACACTGCTAGCTGATGGACCGATGGGTTCACGAGCCTGTGTCACAGTCCCTTCTAACAGGTCAGCCATCGGTCCATCTACCCGCTAGCGACAAAGGAGAAGTTCTCCGTTGGGTCTCTCTGGTAGAGTCTGATCTTTGCCAGCCTTCGGTTGGAGTCGCTCCTCAATCGGATATCGCTAAAATACCCTCAAAATAGGTAAGCTTCCAGGTTGTTCAGGCCTCTTCATCCCGAAGGGCGTTACAGCCACCATCCAGAGAGGATGGTGATCTTCAGGAAAGCGAATCTTGCCAGAAGACCTGAAAAGGTTTTTGGTTTGGTGCTTCTTCTCCGAGTTTTGTTTAGCTCAATAAAGGGACCGTCTCCAAAATATCCTCCTGTCCTCAACAGCCCTGCTCAGTTCAACCCTATGGTTTCCTTTAAGGACTAAATCCATCTAATATTGGGTCCTCCTCTTTTCCTGCTGCCTTCGACTTTTCCCAGCATTATTGTCTTTTTCCAGAGAATCCTGCCTTCTCATAATAGGAACAGCCTCAGTTTCAACATTTTTTGCCTCCAGAGAGAGTTCTGGCTGGATTTGTTCTAGGACCCTCCCTTGTTCATTTTTCTGCCACTCTAGGGGTGTCCCTCTCCCCCGGCACCACCTTTCAAACAAATCATTTTTTGACCTGGTCAGCCTTCTTCCCTGTCCAGCTCTCACACCCACACATGGTGATCAGAAGTACAAGAGTGTGGATGGTCTTTGTCTCCAGGGGCACATCCTTACACTTTCATCCTCATATTTTTGTACCCACGCCTGAGGCTTTCCTCAATTAATTCTTCCTATGTTAAGCAGTTTTGCAAAAGCCTTTGCTCCTACCAGCTCTGTTCCAAGACACACACTCTTAACTAGAGCTGAGAAAGTTGTATTGTTGTTTTAAAGTAACTAGCCCTTGTTCCTTCTTCTGGCATTTAGACTTTGTTTTCTTGCAGGTCATGTTGAAGCCATCAGAACAGTTGCGTTGCTTTGAGTTGTTGCTCATACTTTTTTTTTGACACCTGTCCCAAGAGTAGAGATGGGGACGAATATAAAAGCGCTTTAAAGTAACTAGGAAACGTTGCCCCTTACTCCCATAAAAGAACTTTGGTCCCACTGATTACTTTCCTTTCAAAATGGGGCTTTTTCACCTTCGTTACTCAAAAGGGGGCACATCGTCACGATAACTATGTTGTCTGTGATGAACCCATTGTGGCAGCTCAGAAAAGTGACCTTTGCGGTCCGCCACTCCGGTCCTCTGGAGAATTCTGGTAGGTCTCCTCCCAAAAAGTGGACCATGGGAACTGTATTCCAAAAACGTAGATTTCTGCACACCACGAATCACTTCTAAATCTGGATTGTTGCTCTGTTACCGCGCTCCTGCGACAAACCTTGGTCAGTTCTAAGTCATCCCTGGGTCCTAAACCCTAGACAGGGGTTACCCGTCCTTGTACACTATCCTGAGCTGAACTGGCCAACGGCCATCATCCTAGCTGGCCCCTGAACCCATGTCCCACCCCAGACCAAGAGGGTAAAAAAAAATTAAAGGGAGAGAAATGGAAGGAATCGTATATATAGGGTTTTTTTTACTTACAAATTTCTCAAATTCTATCGCCATTGGTGTTGAGCTTTCTGTCGCCAGGATGAGCATCCGCCGATCCGGAGGCGGCTCCCTTTATAGGCAGGAGGGCTGCCACCCAAGGTTGGGAAAGATGCCACCCAGGGTTGCTCTGTGTCCCGTCCCCCCCTCGGGCCATCTTTCAAAAACCGGCAACCAGCCACGCCGTTGACACCCAGGATGAGTCGTGCCTGCTGAGTCAGGCCTCCCCGTGAGGTTGATGTCAAGGGGTTGATCTCCGAGCTGATGCCGGAGAGGGCAGGATGATTTCCTCACGGGCTGTCATCGCCTGCTCCCTGCATCATCATCATCATCATCATCCTAGCTCCAGTTAACCCTGGAAGGTGGGAGGATACGCCGTTAGCCCCCCAAGCTTGGGCAACACGGAAACCTCAACGCTCAGAGGCAGGATGTGGGGTTTTCTGAGGAAGGCGATGTTCATTTGAAAAACAGATTCTCCCCGTTGTTTCCAAATAGAGGAAAATCTGATTTCGCTGGACCAGTTCCGTGTGTGGAGCAACCAGTTCACAGGAAAGCCTTGTATCACAAGCCCAAGATAATGGATGAGTCTTCACCTCTTGTTTACTCTTTTCTTAATGACTTCTTGTTTACTAATAGTCTCACATAAGGTGGAGCGTAGGAGCTGGAGGCGTTCAAGAGGCATTTGGACAACCCTCCCTCCAATCTGCTTTGGTTTGGATTCCTGGCCTTGTGGATGAGTCTTCACCTCTTGTTTACTCTTTTCTTAATGACTTCTTGTTTACTAATAGTCTCACATAAGGTGGAGCGTAGGAACTGGAGGCGTTCAAGAGGAATTTGGACAACCCTCCCTCCGATCTGCTTTGGTTTGGATTCCTGGCCTTGAGCAGGGGGGGTGGACTTGATGGCCTTAAGAGGTCCCCCTTCCGACTCCGTGGTTCTGTGACCGGCAGAGAAGTGGCCCATTCAAACTGCATACCGACACAGAGTTAGCAGGGTAGTCTTAAGGGAACCATCATCTCTCTCTCTCTCAACTGGAAATCTGTCCTGTGCCAATAACCATCCTGGCCTACCTCACAGGCTTGTGGTAAAGGGGAACTTTACAACCAAGATAAGGTGGCTGTGGAGGAGGCAAGAAGCTAAAAAGGGACTGTAATTCTCTTTATTCAGTCCAAATTCTATCTTGGCAACACCAGATGTCCCCAAATCTTCGATGTCCAGCCAAAATCTGGCAGGGACAGGGAAGAAATCATCCTCAATTATAAATTAAATGTATTTGTTTGATTAAGCAATCCCCTGCCTTCATCCCAGAAGATCTAAAGCAGCTTATTACAGTGTAAATTTAAGGACAAACACAACACAGCATAAAACCTCCATCACTAAAGCTTGAGGAGATGGTGAATTCTAATACAAACATGATTTCTCCCCATCCTTAAAATGCCCTTTTTAAGAAACTGTTAAGCGACCGGTGGCATGGTGAGGATTTGTGTGTGTGCATGCAGATGTCCAAGACAAAAGGAGAGAAAAGAGCATTCTGGATCCCCTGATGTTGGCCACCGTAGGTGAAAAAAATTATAAATTAAAGCCTTGACTTTATACAATAAATAAATGATTGATTGATTGATTGATTGATTGATTGATTTGCAGATATCATGTGAGACAGCCTTAAGTTGGTTCGTTTTTCTTTCTGTTCCTCACTGGTTTGTTTTCTTGTAAGAACCTGTGCCCTATAAAGCCAGGAGCAGGGGGGCGTTTTCCTTCAAAATTTAAAACTGGACTACAACACCCATCATCCCTCACCAAAGGCCATGGTGACTGGGGTTTCTGCATCTCGCCAGTCGTTTTCAGGGCCAACATAGAAGCCAAAATCGTCCCACGGCTGGTAGAAGCTCTGTTTGAATTTAACAACGGCACTGTTTAATTGCCTTCTGTGTTGAGTGTAACATGGACGGATCCTGTCCCTTTAATCAGCAATCTGCAGAAGGAGAGCCCACCTGCAAGAGTTGACGAGCAGAACCAGCTGCCCTTGATGGTGCTTAGAAAGCTCCATTTTTAGAAAAACCTACCCAGAGTGATCCCTTTCTAAATAAGTAGCAGTAGATTTTTTCCCCCCTATGGCTTGCAAACAAAAAGCTATTGGAGAACAGGCTGGTGTTTGTCCAGGACCGGGATGGTGGCCTTTCAGTCGGTGGTACTTTCCTGCGAAAGAATGGCCGTGTGAGTATTCCAAGTGGATGCAGTTTCCCCACTTGGTAGCCTTTAAGTTGTCTTTAAAAATATGAAAATACGATACAAGGGAGTGTTAGTTTTATAGATCGGCAAAGACCTCTTTAGGTAGCACTTTGTTCAAAGGTGTGTATAAATTGAATTACGTCCTTGTAGGGATGTATTTCCAGTTTTATTTAAAGTTATATATCACCCCACCCTGCTTTACTTTCACGAGAGAGAGTGTGGCTTGTTCTCCGTACTAAACGAAGAAAAGTTCTGGATGATTTAATGTCTGCATCTGATTAATTACATTGAAATGGAATATGATCCAATAGCTTGGCTTTTTTCCTGTTTGGCTTTGGTAGTTCTTGTAAATATATTACTACTTTTTAAAAACACCCACCCACTTGGTTATCTAGATAGTCATTGATTTTTGTTTCAATGTGACACTTGTGTAGGGGGGAAAACGTTCAGAAGTCTTCAGACGTTGTATATTTGATTGCATGTGTTTGTGTGATAGGGAAAATATTTTTATTTGTGTTAGTTGTTACATTTATATCCCACTTTTCTTGCTGTGTCCATGGCCCTCCTCCTTCCCACTTTATCAGTACAACATCTAAGAGAGTGACTGGTCAAATATGAGTTTCTTAGCTACATGGGGATTTGAACTTGGGTCTTCTGAGCCCTAGTTGAACAGTCCAACCACTACATCGCACGAATTATGATTAATTTTTTTGTAACAAAAGGGTTGCATGATTCCCAAGCAAGCAAAAAAAAAAAATTTAGTAGTTTATTCTTCTGGATTGTATGTTCTTTGGTGCTTTGAGGGCAGTTTTCTCCTCCACCGTTCCTGACTTTATTTAGGTTTGTAGGAGGCCTTCTACAGTCTCATCGCAAAGCCTCAGGTGGCAAGGAGTGTGGAGGGGTGGTGACAGAATAAATAGGAAATGCTCATGAACACTCCAGAAGCTGGGCTGTCCATGAATTTAAGCCTTTCAACTTTAGGTGTCATTCTTTGCTTTGCTCCACCTAGCTAGGCAGGCCCTCTGGGTGGCTTGGACTACAGATCCCATCAGCCCCAGCCAGCATGGTGCAACTCCTCGTGGTGAGGGCTGTTAGCCAGAGAATAAGATTGGGGGAACGGGGGCCTAGAAAGAAGGGTGCAGCTTCATTCCTTGGAATAAAAACGCTTTATTAAAGTGACCATTTTAAAAATTCAGTTTTAGTCTTAAATCAAGGGCAGGTAAGGAGGGAGGGGTGAGAAATAGCGATGGCCTTAGATTTCCTCCCCTGTTCCCTTTTCCAGTTCTTAGTACTGAATGAAAGAGAGAACCACGTCCCCATCGATCTCAATGGTGTCAATCTGCTGGAAGTTGTGGAAACGGTGGTTGTAATTGAAAAGGGGTTGCCCGTTGGCGAAGATCTTGAAACGCTGGTTGCCACAGCGGATGGAGAGCTGTTTAAAGAGGGGGAGAGAGAAAGAACAGGCATGAGATGGGAGGACGAGGAGGAATTTTAGACCAGCAGAGCTAGAAGGGACCCCCAGGGATCATCCAGTCCAACCCCTGACAAGGAGGCCCCGTGGGGGGAATCAAACTCGCAGCCAGATGCCTTAAACCACTGAACTATAGGTGTATCTCCTTAGAAGGCCTGTTCCCCACTGTGAACTTAGACCAGTTTGATACTGTACCAGTTTAACATCCATGGCCTGCTCCACCCCAGGGGACCCTGGGAACTGTATTTTAATGTGAGTTTTCTGAAACCTTCTATCTGCTGTAGAAATAAAGTTACTTCTCCAGCTGTTGTCAACAGCTGTCCTGACTTTAATACTTTGAAAGGCTTTATGGTTTGTGGAAAAAGTGAGGCAGTTCCGTTGCACACTGGATTAACAAATACGCACGGGAATGGCTGTAAACCTTTGAGTTACACAGGAGATTACTTTGGGCAGAGGTAATAAAAGCAAACATTCAGGATTGGATGGCTTTTCTGAGAGAGGCAATACTGGTCCTGTCCACTAGAGGGCACCAGCAAATAGTTTTTTCATATGCTTCCCCCCCCCCGCGCACGCCTGCTAGCTTCTTTGTAGAATTTGAACCCAGGACACTCACATCAAAGTACTGGCCAGGCTGGAAGGGATTGAAGGAAAGCTCACGTTCCTCAGGGCCCCAACGGCCACCCAGGAAGCTGTTGCGCACCACTGCCCGCTCATCCATGCGGGGGTTAATATGCAGGACAGTCTCAGACCCGGCTTTAAAGTTGATGTGGAATCTGGGAGAGGAAAAAGGCAAAGGAAGAAAGTAAAGAAAGAATATAGTGGCTGAAGTCAGCTCGGGTCGCCTTGGTTTCTCTGGTTCTGTGATGCAGAACAGAACTTAGAAAAACTTTTTTTTAAAAAAAAAACTTAGATATGAGAGCTGAGAAATGTAAAAGTAATTCATTCCCATTGCTTGTTACAAATTTTAAAAATTGCATGTTGACATGAGACACTGTTTTAGCAAATGACACACCATACAATGTTCATTACCTTCCATACAAATTTTATTAACAATTTTCATTACTTTTTTTTTCAATGGGGTGCGTGTGGGTGTGTGGGTGTAATTTTAGGATTGAGGGAATAAAACTTGAAAACATCCAAGTTTGGCTAATGTGGCTTTAACGTGGCTCTCGGATGGCACCAAGGGTTGATTTCCTGCTGCCGAAGCCCTCTGTGGCCAGCGAAGTAAGACCCTCACCAAAATGAAACCAAGAGCGGTGAGGAGTCCACTTCCCGTTTTGAAAAATAAGCAATTTTAAATTAATTAATTAATTAATTCAATTTCTATGCCATCTATCTGACCAATGGTCACTCTGGTCAGTTTACGACAGTAACAATAACCAAAAACAACAACAAAACACACACACAAGTCAAAATTAAAATTAAGTTACTGTTACATTTAAAAATGCAGCCATTAAGAATGGCAGGCTGATACTCTAAGTGAAAATTAAAATTAAGTTGCTGTTACATTTAAAAACGTAGCCATTAAGAATGGCAGGCTGATACTCTCAGCAGCTATTCAGATGGCATGTTCTGAAATTTAAAAGGGCCTTTCCTTGAAGGTTCTCAGAGAGGCAGCCTGGCAGATTTCAGGGAGTAGCTCATTCCAAAGCTGAGGAGCAACCACCAAGAAAGCCCAGTTCCTTAAATGATGCACATACACACACACACACACACATATCGAGGAGCAACCGCCAAGAAGGCCCAGTTCCTTAAATGATGCACGTACACACACACATATGCACACACAGAGGTCACGAACCCTCGCTTATCCACAACACGCCCGTTGAGACAGCAAGAGGGGGGGAGTAGTACCTTTTCGCATGTTGTGGGATGAACCCTCTCACCACGATGGTCCTCTTGGATCCCAGTCCCCCGTAAATGTTGCCGACATACGGCACTTGCTGAAACAAGAATTTGGGGCTGTTACGCTTGGTGGCGAAAGAGAAGGAAAGGTAAATTCGCCCAATACAGGAATGCCCTTTTTGACCCAGAACAGCAATCAGACTGGAGTGGAAGGATCTGGGCCGTTCCTCATGGGCGCCTGTGCCAGTTCATTGCACATGCTCTTTACCGCAGCTTCCTCTCTCCCTGCCTAGATTAGTTAGTTATTGAATGCCTCAGAGTTCGGCAATGTTACTTTTGGGGACGGCCATACTCGGAGTGCTGGGATTTGGTGAATTTTGGAAGATGGTAGCCTTTTAAAAAACACATCTTTTTCAAATTAAAAAAAAAGATAGATTGTGCTCCGTACCAAAGGTAAAACGGGTTTATAATAAAAATAATGGGGAAGTGACAAGGGAATGAACTAAGCATGGTCTTTTTAGCTGCTTCCCATTCCCCCATGAAATGAGGCCTCATTGACTTAATTCTCCCTTTAAAATATTATGAGTTAACTGTTTCTGCATTTTGAGACCAATACAATCAGCTTTCTGTTTCAAACATTGGCACATGGATATACGTAAACTAGAAATTCTATGGATACTTATCTATGTGTCTATTTGAAAAATATATTTCTCCTGACCCATCCTTTCTCCTAAATTCTCGTCGCCCTTTGTTCACTGTGAACATGGCCTGTATTGCATACATACAAATACATGAAGTATGCGTACAAATTTGCACAAATTGGAGGTGTGCGGATTTAGTGGGTTTGGACTACAACTCCCGGAATTGATTGTGTGAGGTGTCGCTCCCACAACACAAATTGGCACATCTCTTGAACACAGGACCCTTCCCCACTCATTTTCCCATTGAGGGAATACCAAGAGAGACACTGCTTACCGGGTGGTAGGAAGTGGGAGCCGTCATCATCTGTGGGGGAAGGAGATCGAAAGAGGGTGTTAGCAGACCTGGGTGCAGCCCCCCCCCTCCAATAACTTCAGTTCCCTCTTTACGGCTGAAAAAATCATTGGCTTGAAGCAAATTTCCCTAAGACACCAAGGGTAGTCTAGGGAGGGCTGGAATTTCTCCAAGCAGACGTAGCATGCCATTGACTATCAGTAGCCAGAAGCTCCTGCCTGTTTGCCGTTTGCCCCCACTTGCCAGCTTCCTATGAACACCTTACCAGCCACCTTAGGTGCTAGTCGTGTGTGATGGTTGCAGCAGGAGCTTTTCTCACCCCCTGTAGTTTGCTAGCTAGTTAGCTTTGTCTGTGGCCGGTCTCCAGGACGAGACGTGCAAGTCACCACTTGCTAACCTGCTACCTCAGATGCCAAAGACAGCCTCAGCCGTGTCTCCTGAGTCCTCCTCAACCCTGCCGGTAGATTTATCTGGGACACCTCATCCAGCCTTTACTTCCCGTGCGGGCTGGTCCGGGAGGGTCAATGGGGCTTTGCCTCTCTTTCTTCCCTTATGGGGTGTTGGCTAGAATTTGGGTGGCAGAGAGCCGAGCAGAGAATCAGAGAGGCGACGGTGGAAGCCTTCTGAACCGCCGGGAGAATAATTTCCCGTCCTGTTGGATATTTAGGGATCGTACTGCGGTCTCCCTAAAAGGGAGCGGAAATAGGCTGGGACCAGAAAAAGCTGCCACCTGTTGGTCCCACTTTCTTTTCTCATCCTGTCCCCACGAATGAGAAAAGCCACCCTGTTTATTTCCAAGAGCGCGGTTGATTCGTGCCAGGCATCGACTGATCCCTTGGTCTCGGTGACCGCAACCATCCATCAGATTTAAGGCAGGGATGTTGAAGATTTAAGGCACATGCCGGGAGGAAGTCTGTGTTGAGGAGGAGCCACCCTCAGGGATCAAAATTCCCCTCGCTGGGGTTATGTCGGGGTGGGACACATCATCTTCCAGTTGCAACCACCCGGGAAGGAGATTGATCTTGGGGCACCAGGATGAACACCTTGCACATAGCAGACGTGGGCTTGTTTCACTCCCGGGAGCATCGGGGGGTGAAACAAACCAATTCCAGGCCATTGAAATCTGCTCACTGGAAGGGGGGGGAGTAATCATCACAGCCTCTCCTAATTTCTCTCGGCCCCCGGTTATTTATCCCGAGTACTTACGGGCAGGTTGGGAGATGGGTACCCATAATCCGGCAACATCATGCCCTAAAAAGGATAGATTATAAGGCGGGAACGGAATGATGATAGCACGTCCTGCCTTTCCAGCAGAGACCGAGAGGGATGAGTCCCGATCCGGAGCCTAAATACGCAGCCTGGGGTCCGTATGGAGCTACATTTCAGCACTGGATAAAACTGGAATTGAAAAACTTCAGATCCTCTCTCCCTGCTCTTACTAATACAATAAGACTTCCCTATCTGCAGGATCTGTATCCACTGATTCACTTATCCACGGTTTAAACTTATTAAAAGGGGAAAAAGTAACCCAAAAATATGTATTTTAATGATGAAGTTACCAGAACTGGCCACGAGAGGGAGCCAGAGACCGCATTGTGTATATAGCAGTCACTATTTTAATAGCATTTGTTATAAGGTGAGTTTTTCAGCTTCTGTAGGGAGAAGGGTTAGAACTGATCCCCTATGGATATGTTTTTTCCCCTCTACTGTACTTACAAGAAGGTTTGGAAGTGGATCTCCAAATCCACAATCTGCAGCAGGATATGCTCTGTGTGGCAACGGAATAGTAGCATTTGGGGAAGTGGTGGTGATGGGGGGCTTTGACAGGTGGAGGATTCTGGGAATTACACATTTGGGGGTCCTCTAAAGTAGCTTTCCTAGCTGTACTAAATGAGAGACCTTCCTGCCCTAAAAGGTGAGATGAAGAAAGGGGGAATTTAACCTGGATTCTAGACACAGCTTGGGTTTGTCTAAAACGTCCGATCCTTCCCAAGAAGTAGCTACAGGATAAAATAATAATAACCCTCCAGATCTTTCTGGAAAAGATGTACGTGTGATTACTTCCTGACTTTACCCCTTTTGCCTATTCTGAGTACTTACAGGAAGATTTGAAGGAGGCTGTCCATAACCCGGCATCATTCCCTGGAGAAAGAAAGAAAGAGGCAATGAAGTGGGGTGGGTGGGGTGGAGCTTTATCCATCGCTCCGGTGGTGCAAGCTCAAATCACGTCTAGACTTGAACCCAGGTGATAGAGACATGGCACCCGCATTATCTTAGCAGGAAAGGGATGCAGCACAGTCTCTTATGGGGATAACGAAAGGATGGAAAGAGACCGGTGTCACTTCAAATGGGCGATACTGGTTGTTGACAAAAATAATCTTCTCTAGATGCTGAAGAGCAGGCCAGCCCGGTTATTGGGCAGAGTGGAGCTCAATAGAGTTGACACGGTCCTTTCACTAATGTTTGAATTAAGAGCTGTTCGTGAAAGAGGGATGGCTTCCATGAGGGATTTGTGTGTGTGTGTGTCAACGTTGGTGTATGATTTGTTTTGTGGCCCTTGTTGAGGACTAGAAACAACTCTTTGGAGACGCCTCGGCGCACTACTCACCGGCATGCCCATCGGTGGCTGGGGTTGCGCTGGCATTCCCTAAATCAGAGACAAAAGGTTGAATATTAATGGATGAGTTTCAATGGTTGAGAGCTGAGGATGTGGACGGGGTGCTTGGATCTGTCCATTTTACCACCACTCCTGAAAGGATGCTTGACAAGAGGGGTTGCTGCCGAGTTAATCGCCCCCTTCTCGCCACCCGGTACTCACCCCACCTCCGCCGATAAGGGTCATGGACTGCAGCTCCAGGTCTGAAGGTTGAGTATTAATGGATGAGTTTCAATGGTTGAGAGCTGAGGATGTGGACGGGGTGCTTGGATCTGTCCATTTTACCACCACTCCTGAAAGGATGCTTGACAAGAGGGGTTGCTGCCGAGTTAATCGCCCCCTTCTCGCCACCCGGTACTCACCCCACCTCCGCCGATAAGGGTCATGGACTGCAGCTCCAGGTCTCCATCTGCGGTCACGACTTGCACCCGCTCTGGAGGGATCCTGTGCCCATAGCTGCAGAAGGGATTTCTGTTCACCAAGATCTACGGAAGGGTAGAAGGCAGGGGTTAACGAGCCCTCTCGGTTCACGGGGCCAAATCGGCTGGTCTCTCCTTTTGAGAAAAATCTCAAAGCCGTTGGCGAGCAAAGCATGGATCAAAAAAAAAAAAAAACCCCAGGAGCTCGTGATAATAACTATGCGGCCATGAAGCAATAACATCTATTTGAACAGCAAGAAGTCAGTGATGTTGCTCAGGTTCATGCAACAAGTTTGTGAAAATATGAACATATTCACCAAAGAAAGAAAATGTTCATGAAGCATGGTTGGGAAATCATGGAAGGGTTTGGGAATTAGACTCTGAGCAAAGGTGGAGCGTGTGTTGTGTTTTCTTACTGTATACTGTATACACCAGGACCCTGGTATCTGCAGCGGATCGGTTCCAAGCCCCCTGTGGATGCTATGCAACAAGTTTGTGAAAATATGAACATATTCACCAAAGAAAGAAAATGTTCATGAAGCATGGTTGGGAAATCATGGAAGGGTTTGGGAATTAGACTCTGAGCAAAGGTGGAGCGTGTGTTGTGTTTTCTTACTGTATACTGTATACACCAGGACCCTGGTATCTGCAGCGGATCGGTTCCAAGCCCCCTGTGGATGCTGAAAACAGCGCTGGCGTTTTCTTGGATTCGCACTAATTCACACTGCCACTTTAGATGATGTTTCTTAGCCAGTTAGATTGCTTTATATACAGCAGGACCCTGGTATCTGCAGGGGATCGGTTCCAAGCCCCCTGTGGATGCTGAAAACAGCGGATAATAGCAAACACAATACATAGCATGGTAAAAGAAAGAAGAAGAAAAAAAAACAGAAAAAAGTATTTGTATTCCTGCATCACTGGACTTATAAGGCAAGTAAAATTGGCCAGTTCTAGTAATGCGTGTGAAAATACTTTTTTCTAGACTTTTTTTTTCTTTTAATATTTTAATATTTTCAGACCAGGGATAAGTGAAACTGTGGATACTGACAGCTTTCAGGAATCCCATGGCACAGTGGATAAAAGATGTCTATTTTATGATTCTATGATTCTGTTTTCACATGCATTACCAGAACTGGCCAGATACCCTGTCAAGTATTGTTCAAGAAGAATTCATAGTGTGGTCTCTGACTCCCTCTGGTGGCCAGTTCTAGTCATATGTGTGAAAATACTTTTTTCTGGACTTTTTTTTCCTTTTAATATTTTAATATTTTCAGACCAGGGATAAGTGATATCATGGATACTGATCCCACGGATATGGGAGTCCTTCTGTCTATGGTCAAATGCACTGAGCTTTAACTGGATATCTTCTGCTATGGGAAGGGACACGTTTCGTCAAGCTGAGCCAGTCCAGCGAAAATTGAGCGCAGTTCCTCCAGACTGGACGGTGCAGGGAGTGAGATGTTTCTGGGGCTCCCCCACACCCACCTGGTAGCAATCGGGGTTGACCACGAAGATGACCTCAAAGTGCTCCCCTTTGCGGAGGGGCATGTTCTGGTGGTCCTCTTTGCCCCACTTGCCCCCATGAAAGGTGTTCAGGACCACTTTGTCTTTGCCATCAAAACGGGGGTTGAAATGCAGGGCAATATCCGCTCCGTCTTGAGGGCCGCAGGCAAAGTTCACCCGGAACCTGGGAAAAAAAAGAAAAGTAAAATAGGCAATGGGTGGGTCGGAAGGAAGGGGAGCAAAACCTGTCTGAGGTTTTACTCACTAATGATTGCTTCTAACTATGCTTTTTCATAATGCCTTTAACTAACATGATGTTATTCATTTTTCTTTAACATTTGAATTCTTTCCTGTTTTTAGCTTTTTACTACTATGTTTTTCTTGGGTCCTGCTTTAGGAGAAGGCATTGGGGGTACTGAAAAACAAAGGTATTGAATAAATAAATAACTTATTTCACTACCCTTCAAGGCCTGATTTGCTATAAAACCAGCTAGTGGGGAGTAGGATTCTTTGCTGTTTTTAGCTTTTTACTACTATGTTTCTCTTGGGTCCTTATTAGGAGAAGGCATTGGGGGTACTGAAAAACAAAGGTATTGAATAAATAAATAACTTATTTCACTACCCTTCAAGGCCTGATTTGCTATAAAACCAGCTAGTGGGGAGTACAGCTTGCTCACTTGCTTTCCCCCCCCCCTTCCAAAGAGTATCAGGTTCCTAGTCCTCATTGATCTGGAGAGACCTTAGAACTGCAGAGCTGGAAGGGACCACCAAGGATCATCAAGTCCACCCCCTGTCAAGGAGGCCTAGTGGGAGGATTCTAACTCCCAACCTCTGTTTATTCCTCCTCTTTTAGAGAAAGCGATTTAGTTGGTTTCACAGGTCAGAGGGAATTAGAACCTGGGTCTTTCTATCGGAAAGAAACACACCTTTTAACCGACTTGCCCTTTCCAAGGGTTTGGACAATCAAAACAAACAGATCTGCATTTCCAGGCTTTGCCCAAATGTAATATTATTTTATTTATACACTTTCCACTCATGTTATTGTTAATGTTTATATACTTTCCACTTAAATGTTACTCGTCATTTATATAACCCCATTCCAGGGAAGGGTTTCAATCTTTCCAGTAGCAAAATCCAAGGTTTCGGAAAGCCAGGCACAAGGGCAGAAACACACACCCCCTTCCAGCTTCTCATTGTCTTTGCACCCCCAAAAAAGAGTGCCTTACCTCTTGGTGTGATGTGGTACAGTTCCCTGGACGTACACCGACATTCCAGGACGGAGACCCCCAGGTATGGGCTGGGAGTAAGGGAGGGTCTGAAACAACAAAGCAGGGTAGAAAAATTCTAGATGCAGAAAGACAGAGAACAAGGGTGGGGGAGACTCTCTCTGGACTACAGTTTCCATCATCCCCTGCCATTGGCTTTGTTGGGGTTGGGGCAGATGGAAGCGGGAGCATCCAGAGGGCCAAAGCCGGTGCTGTCCAGCACAGGATCGGCAGCAGAATCCAATTTCCTAAGAATCTCAGTTTACAGATTAAAAATGTGCTTTGTTTTAGAGATGTAAAATGTCAGGAAATTTCCACTGTTTTTCCAGAAAAAAGAAGGGGAAAAAAGAAGGGGGAAATAATAAATTATTTTTCTGGAACAAATGGAATTTTTCAGAAATTTGACATCTCTAGTTTTGTTAAGTTCCTAGTCCCTCTGACTGAGAAAACATATCTGGACTTTTGAGGGTTGGCAGCTCCTTTTACACCCTAAATGGGGACAAAATGTGCCAGGCCCTTCTTCCCCTTTGGCCTGGAGTCTTACAGGGATTAGCAGAAACTCGGGTTGTTAATGATTAATCCATACAACGGGGAAGAAGTGCTCAGGGCAGGGTTGAACCATCAGCTTTCCAGCTGCCGACCAGTTCCACTTTTTATGGGCGCTCCCAGAACAAGGTCAGGGGGTGCCGGCTGCGGAAGTGGCGGGTCGGCCGACCGGCAGGCTGGCTCCCCTTATCAGATCTCTCTGCTTGGTGGAGTAAAAACCGAGGAGGGGGGAGGAAATGGCACCAGGTGCCAGCGCCATCCGGGCCAGGCTGGCCAGGCCAGGCGCCAGAAAAGCTGCCTGACCCCACAAGGCAGGGGCAGCCCGCCTGCCCTACACTTTCAGAGCTTGGTCAAACCCCCTCTGTGTTTGGAACTGGGACGGATTCTGGAGATTTTTACCCCCAAATTCCAAACTATAATTTCTAGCTGGGGGCAGTTTCTCTACAACTGGAAGTTGCCGTTCGAAAAAGCTGGCTTGCGTAAATTTGCAAGGAGAGGAAATTGTGATGGGAGAAAAAAAGGAACTGTAAGCAGGTTTCAGCTGGCTGGATAATTCTGTGGCTTAGGTATTCGGCTGGAGAGTCAGAGCTTGGGGGTTCGATTCCCCCACTGGTGCCTCCCAGGAGAACAGCCAGCCTGGTTAGCCTTGGGCCAGCTGCACGGTCCCAAAGCTGCCCCAAGAAGAAGATGATAGGAAACCACTTCTGAGTATTCTCTCCCTGGAAAAGTGTTGCCTTGGAATCGACTTGACAGCACACAGTTGTTGTTCTTGTTATAACCAAGTTTTGCCCTTAGAATTCTTCAATTCTCAGTGTTAGGTCTTTTTCTCTCCATTTTTGTTGAGGGATCTTTTGGGTACCATAAAATCCAAAGTGGATCCCGTCAGCCTGAGACTACCACACCCACGCTGTGCTGCAGAATCCAGTTCAGGCTGTGTGACTCTTAAGCTTGTATTGCAGGGGAGTTCTGTGTGATGTCAGCTTGAGACTACCACACCCATGCTGTGCTGCAAAATCCAGTCCAGGCTGGGTTCTGTGTGACTCTGAAGCTTGTATTGCAGGGGAGTTCTGTGTGACCCTTAAGCTTGCACCGGGCAGAGTCTGCTTCTATGTCTGCTAAACCAGGAAATGCCAGGGCACCGCCTGGGCATCTCCTTAGTTTAGCAGACAAAGAAGCAAACTGTGCCCGATGCGAGCTTAAGGGTCGCACAGAACTCTTAAACCAGACGGCAGAGCGACTGCAACATCTTCACTAGGAAAGAAAGCAAGGTTAACTTTTTAAATAGAAATCTACGGTGAAAAGAGAGAACGGGAGAACGGAATGCTAAAAGTGGGGGCTCGAGGCTGTTCTAACAGCCCCCAAATAATTCACTTTCATCCAGTTTTTAAAAACCTAACCCTTTCAAACACTAAGGGACACAGAGATCTCCTGCTCCCCAGGTTGTGTCTGGCAGCTCCTGTTTCAGCAAAAAAATAAAATCCCAGGTCTTGGAAATTTCTGGGGAGGGGAGTTGCCTTTTAAATAAGTTCAGGCTCCCCATAAGGACCCAAATCTCAGATCTTGAAGGACTTCCTTTGATGGGGGGATTTTTTTTGCCAGGGTTTGGGTTCCTGGGGCGTCCCGGGGCAGAAAATGGGCCTCTGGACCTGTCCCGCAGGGGCACTGAGGTGGCTGCCGGATGCCACCAAGTGTGGCATCTTAATAGCATCTTTCTTCTGCATCCAAGAGGCCAGACAGAAGAGCCGCAAAGGCAGACACTCACCGGGTTGTACACGGGCATGTAACCGGGCGCAGGGACGAAAGCCATGGCGCTGTCCGAGGCTGGGCTTCTCTGCAGAGGGTGGGCCGAGAACGGAGGCAGAGAAACGGGACAAGCCAACGGAAATGCTTTTATATGGTGCCGTCGCCGTTCGGCAGGGGTGGAGCAGGTGGAAATTGGCACCTGCCCAGGTGGGAGCTTGCGTTCTCAGCAGGTAGAAAGTTCAGTGTACACAGACCAGCAACCTCGCCCCCCCTACCCCCAGCCTCTCCCTCTGAATGCAAATGGGTGCCATAAAATCCAAAGCAGCCCCCGTCAGCCTGAGACTGCCACGCCGCCTGCGCGGTGGTGCAGAATCTAGTCCAGGCTGGGTTCTGTGTGACTCTGAAGCTTGCATTGCAGGGGAGTTCTCTGTGACTCTTAAACATGCATCGGGCAGGGTCTGCTTCTTTCTCTGCTCCCCGTGGAAAGCCCCAAAGATTTGGGTCCCTCGTTGCCTGTCCGTGAGTTGAATTGGGGAAAAGCTACAAGCAGAACTTGCTCGCTCTTTTCCGGTCTCTGTGAGCTACTGGAGTTTTTAACTGTTGTTTCTCGCCTGCACTGGCGGTTTAAAAGTGCTGAAATGTCACCGTTGTTGTGGTTGAAGAAGGAATAGCCTTCGTGGTCTGTACAAGCGTTGTAGGTAAAAGCAAAAGAGAAATAAAAAGTTTTTTTTAAAAGAAAGACAAAAACGTGGTGGCGTCTTAAAAGACTAACGTTTATATTTTTTTAACGTGAGCTTATGTGGACAAAGCGATGAAGTGGACGTGTCCATGAAAGCTCACGTTCAAAAATTGTAAAACTTAGTCTTTTAAGATGCCACCACGTTTTTATCCTTTTTAAACTTTTTGTTTCTATTTTGCTTTTACCGAAATCACACAAGCAAAGTGAGCTCATTTCTCCATGCCTGGGAAACCAGAATTTCACCCCAAAAAAACGTCCATCAAGGAGGGCCTCCTGAGAGGGCTTCTGCCTGTGTTACTTTGGGCCAGAACGGAAGCTCGAGCAGAGTTTGGAAAACTCCTTTTTGGAAACAATTAGTTCCCGCTACTTCTCCCAGCGTTTGAAAAGTAACCCATCATGCTTCCAGCTTTAAAGAAAAAAAGATCTCATGATGTTACTTGTCCTGCTTGCTACCTTTCTGCCACTTTCTTTCCATTGCTACTTTTATGTTTTTATGGGGATGACCTGAAGAAGCCAGCAATAAAACTGGAGCATTTCCAGGCAAAAGGCCTCTTAAAAAGTAACTTAAGAAAGCAGCTTCAGTCATGCTAGTTACATTCCTACTGAAATGTAATATAAGAACACTCCTGTTACTGGAAAAGTAACTAGTTACTACTAGTAAGATACTTGTAATTCCTTACTAGCAGTTTTGGGGCTCAGACTTGAGTCTTGCAAAGGTATTGATGGACGGAGCGTCTCTGTTCATGCGCAGAGTGATTCCCCCCCCCGGCCGCTGAGCAATCCTTTAAAAGCAGAACTGGCAGTACATGGTGAAATAAAATTCAGAGCCGTGTAGTTTGGCGAGAAAAAGAGTAGGTAGAGAGTTGGAAGACGCCAACAGGATGGATTGAAACTGAACATCCGAGCATCCATCCCTCCGCTCTCAGTGGGAAAGGTTTAGAGAGGGCCGCACATGGAATCGGGCAGGAAGCGAGTGCGATCCACGCCCTGAGCTGAGTTGCCCCCACCTCCCGGGCAGCACCCAGGAAGCAGAGGCTGTAAATGGGTGCAGCTGTTTGCAGAAGGGCCGGGCCGGGGCCATTGAGCTGCGCTGTCAGCAAACAAGCCGGAGGATGTGGGGAAGGGGATAGTGCCCCCCCTTTACGGTTGACAGGACAGGTCTCCATGGAAACCTCCTTGGGGGTGGCATGGATGGGCAGCTCCATCCACTGAGGCAGAAGAGGGCAGCGTGGGCCCGAGGAAGGCAGGACAGACCACAGACCGGAGTGGAGTCTCATAACTGGGAGGCCATGTCCTACCTCTTGGACTCTGGCCTGGCCTGTGTGGGCAACCCAGCAACCGGAGCAGCAGGGAGATGGGAGTCCGAGGGTGTGGGGAAGATGGGTAGAACACCCGAGAGAATACGCCCGGCGCCTGGTGCCATCTCTGTCCAGCTGGCGTGGAACCATAACCTGTTTCCTTTCAAAACTTTAAAAATGTTCTGCTAACATTCCCGGGGGCTTTGCAAAAAGGAGGATGAGCGAGAAAACCTCCATGAAGGCGAATGATTCGGGGCCGGTGCTGCTTCAGCTAAGCTTGCTCCATCTGTGAATTCCCGGTGGCTTTGGTGGGGGGTCACATTGGAGCAAGGCGTAAATGGCTTTGGCACCGTGCCACCCCGAACCATCTCTCTTTTGACCAGTTTCAGAAGCTGGGCAAACACAGGGCTCGTTAGTTAGTCCTCAGATGGGAAACGTCTCCAGAGAATACCTGGGACCTCCAGGTAGAGTTAAGGGTATGTGTGTGTTTTGAAATCCTCCCTGACCCTTGAAAGAGGAGCGGCTGCCAGCCAGAGCTGCCAAAACTGGGACCACAGGGACCAAGGATTGGATGCAGTGCAAGGCAAATCTCTGTGGCCCAATACAGAAAAGGCATGCTTATACCTGAACATAAAACCCCTACAATGCCCTTGGTTCTTTGCAGGGAAGAGCCCAATACAGAAACAGCATGCTTATACTGTACCTGAACATAAAACCCCTACAATGCCCTTGGTTCTTTGCAGGGAAGAAAATTAAAAAAAAATACAGAAGCCATAGAATTCAATTGTGTGGTGCAGTGGTTAGAGAATTAAACTGAGGAGACCCAGCTTTTTATTTCTTGCTTCAGTATGAAGACTTTCCCCCCATCCTTGCCCTGATGTTGATCAATGAGTTTTAACAAAAGTATCTTTTTTGTGTGTGTTCAACCAGATCATATTGCACAACAGAAAGGTTAAGATAAATTGTTTAGATCTGATTAGTACACAAATTTGTGTATGCACGTGTGTAGCCTTGACTGTTTCCCCTTTGTATTGCATACATTGTGACATCTTTCAAGACCCTTCTGTGTTTCTTTGGAATGGCTGTCAATGCATCTTCCTTGCTTCCCAGGAGCAGAGAGAAAAAAACAGCGAGTAAGTGCGGTTCTTACCTTGTTTGTAAGAACATGTTCTAGCCTCCCACTTTGCCTTAAAACAGCACTTAGAAATAGGGAAGCACACCGTAACAAGTTAAAACATTAAAAGTAGATTTAAAGGGGGTGCAACAGATACATAGATGGCAGGGAAATTGTCTTTTTGTTTTTTAAAGTCACAAAACTCTCTTGTCTGTTGGTGCTAAATTTCTCCTCTTCCTCTCTCTGGCTCAGGAGACAAGGGATCACATGTGCAGCCCGTGCCACATGCATTATTTTGTCATTCTTTCCTCTGTTATAGGAAATGCCGGCTGTACCGCTGATGGTTTTGGACTGGCACTTTTGATTCTTGTAATTTTTTTCCTCCCCCTTTTCAAAGAATCACTGTGTATATGTTGTGTCCGGAAGGGGAAATGGATAAGACCCGAGCCTTAGCGATGTTATTTACTGTTCCCTCCCCAGCCAAATGTTTTCTTTTGCATTTTTGTGGGTTTTAATTTTGTACAGTAGGCCGACAAAGGTTTCTGTCTGTGGATGAGACCCCTTTATCAGATCTGTAGCTTCACGCAAGGAGGTTGAGAAAGTTCACGCAAGATAACCAAGACCCCTTTTCCACAACAGGAGGGGTTTGTATGGATTGTTGTGCTGTGTTGCGTTTGCCTGTGTTTTTGGAATTGATGTTAATGACCATTTTTAATACACAACTGTCCTAATTCTTTTTAAAATATCTGTATATGTAGTGCTTTTAACTTTGAAATACCATCTTTTTAATGACGTGAGCCACCATGGATCCTTTTAAAGAGAAAGGCGAGGTAAAATACTTTTAAAGAAATTTAAATAACTGCCAGGATTTCTTGGGCAGAAAGGACAGCAACAAGAGCATTTTAGCACCACGTTACGGGAAGATCACTCCGTGGTTGGGGTCTCTCCGGCTCAGGAGCCAGAGGTTGAGAGTTCGAATCCCCCACTGGGCCTTCTTGACGGGGGCTGGACTTGATGACCCCCCAGGGTCCCTTCCAGCTCTGCAGGTTTCGGATTACCCTTTCCACCAACCTCAAAGTGTGGGAACTATTCAGGAGAGCCACCCTTATTTTCACTCTGAGCAAAAACACACATTTGCTTTGTGTTTCTCTGTCTACAGCAGGGAGAGGCAAGAGTAAGTTATGGAGTAACACAAAGACACACACACACACACAACCCTCTCCTAGGAATGTTAGGTGATCTTTGCAGTGCAGTTTTGTTTACACACGTCTTTCTCCTTCCCCTGCAGGAAATGGCAGCTTGAGAAAGAACCACCTCTCCCCTCTTAACAGCTCCATCTTTATTACTGTTTGCTAAGCTTCAGTTATCAGCTGCCCACACACAAACTAATTTTGATCGGCCAGAGGCCAACCACCCTTTGGTATCCAGCCGAGTGGCTCTGGGCCCTACGATCCTCAAAAACTTAAGCCTGGATGGAGTTTTCCAAACTTTATTTGACGGTCGCTTGGCCCAGATGGGCACGGAGATTGGCGAGCCTGGATTCAAGTAGAAAGAGGAGAGGACTGTGCCAAGAGAAGCAGCCTTAGGGAGGCAGGCCTGGTCACAGCACCCTGAATTTTAAGAGCGCCGGACTACCGTTTCAGGTCTTGGCTGAGCGGTGCAAATTCTACAAGACTGTGTGCAATTCCTAGAGAGGCCTTTTTCACCGCGAGCCCCCGAGTTAGCTTAGGGTTAGCTCTATTCCAGTGTTCTGCAGGTAAAATTGAGTAAATGTCCCCCCCCAAAATAACAGGGGGGAGGGAAGCATGCTACTCCTACCCTGAAAGGAACAGCCTGAAAAGGAGGATCAAACCTGGGTGTGAAGGCTTTCCAGGTGAGTGGGGAACCCTGAAAGGTCAAGGGCCCTGATTCTGCAGGCCATCTCGTCATTATCCTGGTTCCTTTCTGGTGGGGGGGAAGGCTAGAGGGTGAACCCTGGACATTTCTCCCGAGAGGGGGCTCTCAAGCAGCAGCTCTCAACATAGGCTTTGCTAGCCCCAACACCTCGGGAGAAATGGCCAGGCATCATCACCCTTTAGCTTCCCACCCTGTGGAAAAGTGGGTTGAGTTGGGACCAAGAAAATAACGCATTTTAGCCACAACGCTCCCTTGATGATCCCGAGCCTGCCAAAGAATAACGAGTCGGTCACAACGTAGAACAGTATGCTGGTTTGGTCTCCTCAGTTTTGCAATTAATTTTTTTTGTTGAATAGTGGTATACGAATGAATGAAGGAAACAGCCACAAGGCACCCATCGTGTGCATTTTAGCCGTAACGCTCCCTTGATGATCCTGAGCCTGCCAAAGAATAATGAGTCGGTCACAACGTAGAACAGTATGTTGGTTTGGGCTCCTTAGTTTTGCAATGAATTTTTTTGTTGAATAGTGGTATACAAATGAACGAAGGAAACAGCCACAAGGCACCCATCGTGACAGTGTAATTAAATCAGCCTTTAATCTTCCAAAATAATTTGTTCGTCTCCCGGCATGCTGAGCACCCTTTACCGTTTGTTTCTCGCTATCATTAACGTCTACAATTTCACACAGCATCGGTTTTTTATGAAGAAATTGAGCCTCCATCAACCTGCTAGCCTAATGAGCAGGAATCCCGGTCGTCTGTGATAAGGAGTCCACGGTTGCTGGAAAGGAAGGCACTGCCCAGTGGCTTATGGAAGGCACGCATCTCCCGTTTTCTTGCTGAGGCCTGGGGTCCAGCTTCAGCCCCCCCTCCGCGCCACACGGGGCCGTCCGGACAACTCTCTGTGGGCAGGCATCATCTGCCTCCCGCAGCAGCTGATGGCGCAGCTACAGCTTGGCGTACACAACCTCCTTGGGAGTCTTTTTCTCCATGGCGGCTTGCGCCGATTTGATGATGTCTTCCGTCTGCAGCATGCTCATATTCCAGGTAGCCTGAAGGGTGGAAGGAAGGGAGAGCCAGAAAAGGGGGGTGGGGAGGAGATGAAACAAAACGGTGTTTTGCTGCTCTTACAAAAGCATCCTGGGCTCAGATAGACCAAGCCTGTGCTCCATCCACACTGCCCAGTAATACCAGCCTGCTGAACACAACAGCGGACTGAAAACCAACAGAGTGTAAATCACAGCGGCAAACTGCTACTTATTAAGAAGCTGCCACCGATCTTCCTCCCTGCACTGCCATACTGAGGGTTTTAAGGTGCAGCAACAATTTGCCTGATTAGAAATGTAGAATTTATTAGGTCAGAAGAGGGCAAGGCCTTTCCACCTTTAAAATGGTAAAAAAAAAGTGTTTTAACATAATTGGTTTTCTTTTAGATTCTTGGAGATGCAGGAAGAGCCGGCACTTTGCCCTGGATTTAAAACAAGGACCACACCGTCAACAACGACTTAAAGCAGAAGCCACTCTGTTGTGACTGGAAGCAGTGATCCCAGGCTGTTCACGACCTGCTCATCACAGGCAAGGGAGGAGGGGTGGGCATCACTGGCATGTCATCCCCCCCCGGCCACTACCCAGGCCCACCACTCACCATATAGTTCAGACCCTCGGGCACAGAATGGTCCCTAGAATAAATGAGGTTGACTTTGGTGCCCTGCACGGCCAACGGGCTCTTGCTAGCAATCTCGGTGGCCAAGTCAAAAGCGCTCTGCATCATGGCCTCTTTGTCTTGGAACACACGGCTGGGGGGGAAGGGGGGAGAAGAAACAACAGATTTGTATGGCTGAAGCTAGAGGCATTTCTGCCGTTACAGACAATACCGTCCTGGTCTCTTGTAGGGTGGGGTTTAGGAAAACACCACCGCCACCTTGATGCTACACTGCCTGGTAAGCTCAAGAGTCAAACTGATTAAGATGATTTTTTTTTTAATGGAGACAGAGGTAGGGCAATACTTTATTTATAATACTGATTCAAAACACTGAAAAATAGTCTAGGCTCAATAAGCACGGGCAAGACTTGGTTCTTTTTTAAGGAGAAAGGCGGGATAAATATATTTTAAATAAATAAATCTATTTAGCGTTCATGGCTGACAGTCACCTCTAGCCTTTTACTGTCTTTTGACTATTGTAAGCTCCCTTGAGTCCATTTTTAAAGGAGAAAAGCAGGTTAAAATAGTTTAAATAAATAGCTTCTCTGCCTACAAACTTTTCTCTCTGCACTCACCCAAGCTTTCTAAACTTTAAACAAATTCTGCAGGAAAAAAAAAACACCCTTGAGTGAAACATGTTCTTCTGTCAGTCCCAGCCATCCTGATCGTATTCCCCTTAATGGTCTTTGTCTCGAATAAAACATATCCCAAATCTTTAGCTTCTCTTTTGCAGCAAAATTAACTTCACTGAATGCTTTAGTGACTTCTTTCTCTACCGTTCCTAGTTCCGTTTTGGAAACTCGCTATTCATTCCAGACTTTCTCAAGGTGGCAGTAAGACAAATTTACAGACCTTTTGGTGGTTCTAACCTGTACCCATAGTATTTTAAATATTACATTTGCATCCTCCACTGGTCCAGGCAGCTACAGATGAGAAGAACCACCTCCCTCCAAGGTTTGTAAGTCCAGAAGGGAGAGCCGTTACCAACTCATGCCATTCGGAACAGGCAGGTGGTGCACCTACAGACAGACAGAAACTTACCTGACAAGGCCACAGCTCTCAGCCTCTGGGGCCATCATTTTCCGGGCGCTGAAGACCAGCTCGCTCACCAGGCTAGAAGGGTAAGCAAGGACATGTAACAATGGGGTCAAGCTGCAGGAAGCCTGATTTAGGCTATCAGGAAAAAGAACCTCTTAACTGTTAGAGCAGTACGACAATAGGTGCAATTCCTCTGGGAGGTGGTGAGCAGCTCTCCAACGCTGGAGGCATTCGGGAGAAAATTGGACCACACTCTGCCAAATCTGCTTTTTAATTTGGTTTCGTGCCTTGAGGTTGGACTGGATGGCCTTCGAGGTCCCTTCTGCCTTGAGGTTGGACTGGATGGCTTTTGAGGTCCCTTCCAACTCCCCGATTCAGAGAGTCGGGATAGGGTTTCTTGAGAGGAGGAGGAGAGGCAGAACCTGCTCCCATTGGCCTGGCCCACTCTTCAGAAGCCATCCCAGCCCGGCTGTTCTAGGCACATACACTCAGCTCCTCACCATGCTCTGGGACGCTTGGAGCCTCCCACCGGGCACCGCTTCTCTCTCCCCTCTGGAGAGCCTTCTCAGGCCCAGGTTGCCTTCGGGCTGGCAAGCATCCTGACCTTACAGGGTGGGTTTAACACTGCCTCTCTCTTGGAACCAGGAAGGGGCTGAAGCCGAAACCAAGCGGAGCACTGACCTCCGATTTCCGATGACGCGTGGCAGCCGCTGTAAAACGCCGACGTCGGGTGCCAACCCAATGTCCACTTCCTGAGGGAACGAGGGGAAAGGGTTCAGCTATTACATGGCAGAGAAGGAAAAAGACAAATCCGCCCCCATGAGGGGCCGAGAGGAGGCAAATTTAAAAAACCGGACTACCTCGTCCAGCAGAACCTCCTTAGGAACAGCAGTGGAGAAACTCTTTCCCCACGTACCTTAACCTGGAACCAAGCATCTTGAGTACAGTAACGGATGTCACAGGCAGTTATAAGATTCACACCTGCAAAAGGAACACAACCAACATCTCTGTTCCCCTCGGTGTCCAATTTCCCCTCCTACTCTCTTTTCCTGCCACCGTGGCGTTTGGGATGTGTGTGTGAAAGCTGCCGCATGGTCTCAAATCCAAAGACTGGCCAGATCTAGCCCTGCTGAACTTTAGCAGTCAGTTGACTGGATCAAAGACCTTGAGACTACAGGCCTGCGATGGTGCAGACACAGCATATGGGGAAAAAAGGGGTGGGGTGGGGTAGGGTATGAATTTGGATCACGTGATACTTCTAAATGTGTTTAATATCAGGGCTGCATACAGGTTTCCCTTAATTCATTTCAGAGTCCAATCTGAGGCTTCCAGACAGTTTCCCCTTCCAATCAGATGTATATCCTGGATCTGAACTGTTTTATTTATCAACTTAAATCACCAGGTCACCCATTTATTTGCGATGGAAAACCAATAAAAATTTTCTTCGTTTGTTTTTGTACTGATGTACATGAAATCTGGATATACAATTGATCTTAAATTGGGGAGTTTACCTGCCAGATTTTAGATACCTCTACTGATTTACAGTACATACCTGGAGCCTTTGGAAGTTGGCAGTTTTCAAAAAGAGAAAAGGACATCCAAAACAATTCCTGCTTATTTCTGACTGGATTTGCACATTTGGTTCGCTTTACCCCGGAACGGAATCTGGCCATTATTCCACTTCAATCTGGACTTTATACAAACTGAACCAAGCTATTTAATAAGTCTGTATCATCTACAAGAAAGTTACAACATGGCCCTCGGCCGCTGGGCAGCCTGCTTGAAGAGCAGAGAGGAAGTGACCTCAAGAATGCTGGTTTCTAACTTGCAGATTTCAAATACTTTTAAAATTATTTTTTATACCTGATTGTTTTAATCTTAATGTATGTCTGGCTTTTTAAAAATGTGATTATTTACACAGTGTTTCTAAATTTCTTATTTGTTGTGCGCAGCCCTGGATTCCCTATGGGGAGAAAGGTGGTATATAACTAATGTAAACAAATAAAGAGCACCGTCCTCTGGGATCTGCCTGTTCATCCTTCCTTAAACCTCTTTTTCCATGCTGCTCACATTAGTTCAAGGCCAAGTGGCATAATGCAGTGATCTACCTCTACAGATGTTGATACTGAAAAGAAACACAGAAAAACCAAATGACCCAAATCAAGACGCGGCCCACGATACCCACAATCCGCTGCCGGGAATCCCTAAAAGGGGTGGGTTGATAAGACCAGTCCCCAGGATTGCCAGTAGCTTCACCCCTTGCAAATCATCTTTGGATTTATTGTGGGAGAGGGCTCCCTTTTTAAGGTGCTCCTTACTCATCTATTGAGCAAGTACTTAAAACCTGAGCATCCCAGAGGAAGGCAGAAATTGGGGGGTGGGGGAAGGGGGAGGCAGACCAAAAAGCTCAAGCCACCCTCTCCTGAAGAGGGAAACGCTGCAGGCCCTCTCTCTGGGAGCAGCTGTTCCAGTTTTGTTTTTTAATTTTAAGACAAGCAAACTCTCTGCATATTAGAAAGACAAAAAGGCAGCTGTTCAGGAATGGAAGTTTAGCTCCCATCAATTAAGATTAGATCAGTCCATAAACAGTGCCCAGTTATTCATAAAGCTACCTGTTTTTAACAATGGGCCCTTGTTTGCACCAGGAAGGTCAGATACGTCCTTCCTGCAAAGCCTTGTAACTCCACCGTCCATTTGTGTGTCTGCTGTTCCCACAGTTTTATAGTAAACTAATAAACAAATCCAACCTCTCATTGTTTCGTAAACAAGCGAGGGTAATCATGCCCCGTTTCGCCTTTAGCAGTGGACTCGTTATAGGATAAGGCTGAAGAGGTAAATAAAGGACATCAAGCCACGACTGTCCTTCCCCCCACGTGAGCCGCAGGACTTACCTCCTCCAAGGCAAGCCCCATGGATGGCGGCGATGATGGGCTTCGTGCACTAAAACACACAGAAGGCGGTGAGCCGTGGGTGAAGGAGGCACCTCAAGACAAAGGATCTCCTCCCCCACAGCGTGACCCCACTCACTTTCTCCAGCACCGTGAAGGTCTCTTGATACTCCCGGATCTTCTTGCGAAGGTTCCAAGCCTTCCGTGCAGTTTCTCCTCCTTCCATCATCACGAAAGTGCTCCCCATTTCCATCAGGTCTATACCTGTTGGATGGCATGAATTTTAAAATTAGAGCAGTAATGGCCTGCTAATTGGATGGGCTTCCGGATGGCAGAACGACACCTTTTTTTCCCCCCAAAACCTAACTTCTGTCCGTCTTGATCTGGCTGACAGCCCCCAGAGGTCGCAGGCCCCCTGACTGCCAAAGGCCCTATTTGATGATGGAATGTCAGTTGCTGTGTCAGGCTGCAGCTATAAGAGGGAATGAAGCATGTCAACTGCATCGCTGGAAGTCAAGCAGGAGAGAAATCAAGTTACTCAGCCGCCATTCCAGATGACTATTGCCACCGGAGAATTTACGCCTGGGCCAAGGAGCTCTGGGTTCTGAATTGTGTGTAGTGCAAAAAGGTTGCAGCTTTGCAAATCATCTGTCTGCACATTTCTGGCATTTCACACAGGTGTAGCCTATATTCTTCCAGGTGTACTACTTCCTACAATTTTTTTTAAAAAAACTGCTGCTTATATATCACCTCATAGTGCTTAATTCTGGGTTGTGTGTAGTGCAAAAAGCTTGCAGCTCTGCAAATCATCTGTCTGCACATTTCTGGTGTTTCACACAGGCGTAGCCCATATTCTTCCAATTGTTACTACTTCCTACAATTTTTTAAAAAAAAACTGTGCTGCTTATATATCACCTCATAGTGCTTAAAGCACTTTCTGGGCAGTTTAACACTTAATTATGCAGGCTACACCCCTCCCACAAACACACACCACAACATGTGTACACCTATTCTCTTGAGCTTCTACATACTGTATTGCCTCTTTAATGATATAAGCTGCCTTCAGTTCTTTTTAAGGAGAAACGTAGGACAAAAATATTTAAAATAAATAAATGAATAATATAACAACGCACAGGCTTCCCCTCGGGGAAGGGGAGCATCCTTCTGGCCTTCAATATTTCTGCTCACTGACCTGAGGTAAATAATTTCCCAGCACCGGATATCACCACGGCATGACATTCTGGGTCCTGAGAGATCTTGTTGAAGCACTCCACCATCTCCCTAGGTCAAAGGGGGAGGAAAAGAGAAAAGACGCACGTGGGTCAGTGTGTTTGTGTGTGTTTGTGTGTGGGGGGACACCAGCAGCTGCCCATTTAAGAAAAGGCCTGGTTGGAGCAGCAGAGGAAGAAATAGTGGGTTTTTCATGCCTCACCCAACAGCTCTTCAAAACAAACTCCTCAGGCATTATGTGGGCAAAATGGAGCCACCAGGAGGTTGCTATTTGGTGCTGCTCTGCCCAGCAAACCCTTCCCCCCCGCTTCTCTGGAAGCTTCCTTACTTTGCAAGAAAGTGACAAAGAGCAACTCAAGGCTACACCCCCAGATTGTAAGATGGGGGAGCTAGTTCACTTCTTCAAAATGTTCGAGAATCCAAGGCCTCCCTCCTCATAAACTGCTCCCTGGGTGCAGTACAATAAATCTCCTAGCAGATATTGTCCCAGGTTCCCTGCCACTAAACTCCTTATTTGATGACTAAATACACTTTCTGTGTCAGGCTGCACCTACAAGAGTCCACGAACGGCTTCCATGACAGTAGAACCCCCTTTACCTGCTGATTCACTTACCCACGGCCTGAAAATATTAAAAATATTAAAAGGAAAAACCCTAGAAATATTTGTTTCTGAAGATAAAGTTACCACAACTGGTCACAAGAGGGAGCCACAGACCACGCTATGTATAGCGTACACTCTCAAAACAGCGTTTGCTATAATCTGTATTTTTCAGCATCTGCAGAGACGCGGGAATGGAAACAATACTACGCAGGTATGGGGGGGAGGGTCCTACTGTGTATCCCTGTGCTTGACCTTCTTCTTCACTAAGCCTTTTTAAAAGTCAGACTCTCCTTTTCATCTTCAGCCCTCCTAGGACTGCATGCTAGAAATAACCTCTTGCCACTGTAATTTTTCCCCCACTGTATGGCCCAGTGGCATACCACCATACACACCCTGCCATGTCTCAGAGCACTACAAGCTGAAAACAAATCTCCCAACGGCACCCCACCCCCTCCCAATGAAGTCAAACACCTTCTTCCAGTTCAGGGACTGCCCTGTGTTCCCAATACCTCCAAAAAGCAGCACTCATGGCATTCCTTTTCTCTGGCCGGTTCAGCTCCACATGCAAGACTTTCTCTCGCACCCGCTCCAGCTTCAAGGTCTCATACGTGTCCACAGCGTTACGTTTCTCCTGTTGCTGGGCTGAACAGGTCCTGAAGCTGCAGCAGGAAGCCGTGCGGACTGACAGATCTGGGAAAAGAAACACCGACGGTTCATAGCAAGGGGTAGCTCTTTTCTCCCGTTTAGAACTGGCACAAACGACATTACAAAACTGAGGTAGGCCAAAAGCGGCAGGATGATTCTGCTGATGGGACTTTTTAGCAAAAGGTAACTATATCAGGCAATTAATTACGATTTCTATTTAGCTATTGCGTTAACATTTGTGTTCAAAGGATAAATTGTTATTTGACGTTTCTTTTCTTTTAGGTATCTATAAAAGTCTTGCCAACCTCACCGGGAGCATGAGAGGACCCAGATATCTCATGATCTCAGTAACTGCCACCCTCGCATACTTTCCCAACTTCCACAGCAACGCCTGTGATCCCATTTCTTCATTTAGGGAACCAATCCCAGGTTTCTCTTTCCTCTGTTGAATGGTCCCAGGCTGCTCAGGGCTGACAGGGTTTGGTTCCCACCCACCCCAAGCGGCTGAAACAAAACAGAACAAGCAAAATGGCAGGAGAGGGTGTCCTCGATCCTTGTGCAAAAAGCTCGGGAGCGTAGCTCTCCACTGGAAAGCATGTTCCTGGAGTGAAGCATGAAGTGCAGAAGTGTGTCTCCCCTTCTGCTGCTCGGTCCGACTGGCTCTCGTGGGTGGGTTGCTGGGTGAGGGTCCCAGTTATGACTAACTCGCCCACTCGATTCTGCACTTTGTGAAGGCCCTTGGGGGGGTGGGGGTGGGGGGCTAAGAGTCAGGGACGGCCGGGGCCAGAGGCCGGTCATATAACTTGCCAAACTGCAGGACCTTTGGCCTGCAGGCGAAAGGGCGGGTCGGGCGAAGGGGAGGATAAAAAGGAAAGGCAAACAAGAAGGCAGGAGTAGGCGGGGAGGGCAGGTTAACACCCCCCCCCCCGCATAGGAAGCACGGAAAACAAGTCTTTGCAGGAGAATTTGAGGTCTTTTTTTTTAACTGGAATTCTTATTTTCTTTTTTAATTTTAGGTAGTATTTAAAACCTCTTGAAATCCGTTTTTCTGCTTTAAAAAAGGGATCCAAGTTGGCTTAAAACCATCAGAAGGCAACCGTGGAGTTCGTTAACCACGAGCACCCCGTCCGGAAGAAGGTGTTTTGTTTTTTTTCTATTGCTTTTAAATGACATCTCAAGAAGGATATATGAAAGGTGGTGTTTTTCAAAGTGTGTTTTTAAAAATAGATTTTGAACTACTTTAAAATATCGTTTTAGACCTGCCTTTCTGCTTTAAAAAAGGGATCCAAGGTGGCTTAAAACCATCAGAAGGCAGCCCTGGAGTTCGTTAACCATGACAAGCACCCCGTCGGGAAGAAGGTGTTTTGTTTTTTTCTATTGCTTTTAAATGACATCTCAAGTAAGATATGAAAGGTGGCGTTTTTCAAAGTGTGTTTTTAAAAATAGATTTTGAACTACTTTAAAATATCGTTTTAGATAACATACAGGTTACCGTTCCTCTGCCCTTTAGGCTCTTCTCTCTTTCTGCTGGAAAAGCCAATCTCTCTCTCTCTTTTTTTCTTTAAAACAAACTTTCAAAAAGAAAAAAAAACACAACTGGGGGGTTAAACTTTCAAAAAGAAAAACAAAACAACTGGGGGGTTTGAGGAGAAAGAGAGAGAGAAAAAAGAGAGAAAAGAAGCCCCCCCCCCGGGGGGGTGGAGAAATAGGAAACTGATCAACTTCTAAAAAAAACACGGGCTACCTCTTCTAAATCTAATTCTAAGAACAAGCCGCTTCTCCAGACAAGATCACAGATATCTCCGCTCTGAAAAAAAAAATGGGGGAAATGGTGGTGGGGACAGGACCGTCAAAATCCTACAGAGAGGCATAAAAGGGGAGAATAAGTCTTGTGGTTCCTTTTTTTAAAAAAAAAAATCTTCTGGAGCAGCCCCCTCACCACGACGCCCGCGGATCCCGCCATCGCCATTTTGGCTCCGAGCGACTCCGGGCAGCAGAGAACCAATCCCAACGCCCTCCTAGGGTCACCTGACCTGGTTATGCCACGTGACCGGCGCTTTTGGGCGCACGCGTCACGCCTCTACGGACATGCCCCCTCCCCTCCCGTTCGGCCAATCAGAGCCCACGCTCGCCCGCGGTTATCAGAGGACGCTCACGGAGCGCCCCCTGGAGGGAAAGAGGAACGGCGGCTCTTGGGAAAGCCCGACGAAAACCACGTGGCGTTCGGGGCGTAAGAGCAAGAAAGTGGCAGGTTCTTGGCGGAGGGGGGGGCTCCTCTGCGGGGTAAAAGCATGAATGGAGGCCGCGGGGGCTGCTGGGACCGCCGCGCGGGAGCGCCTTTCCCACGCCCCCGCCGCAGACAGGAGCACAGGCAATCGCGGGATCAGGGCCGGGAAAGCTTCCCACAATCATCATAACCTGCCAAGCCTTTATCTAGTTTAATCGGTAGAAGCAAAACAGAAGGTTAAAAAAGGAGGAAGAAAAACGTGGTGGCATCCTGAAAGAGCAACTCGCATAGCTTTTCATGTGAGCTTTGGTGGACTGGCCCACTTCCTCAAGAGTTTTCCAGCGGACTCTAGAGAAGGGCTTTTCAGCTCCTTCCACAGAAGCCGGGCCCTGGGTCTTGGGCGTCTTGCTTGGAACAGCAGCTGCTTTCATTAAAAGGCCCCCCCTGTGGGCGTTTGTATACAATGGGGGACAGAACAGAGAAGGCCAAAGGGGATGGAGCTGCTTGCTGGGCAAAGTCACACAGCCGGGGTCCCGCCTGTCCCTTTCTGCATCTGTGCATAAGAACAGCACAAGTCTGAATTCAACTCCCCTGAGAAAACTTGGGATTTCAGGGCAGACCAGCTTCTTCTAGGTTTCTGCAACATGGGACGGAAGTGACAACAATAGTTAGCCTTCTCCCAGAGACGCGACCACCGCCCTTCAGGCGCGCACTCCTTCCTCACTCAGGACAGAGTCCAAGACCTCCAGAGGAAGCTCAAAGGGACGTTACACCAAGGTTTACAACAAGTTTATTTTCCAAACAGCTTTATTAAGGTGTGCCAAGTAGCACAGGCAGCACATAGTATGAACGGGGGAAAAAACAAGTCACATGTACGATAGTTTTAAAACCAGATGTCACTTGAACAGCACAGAGCTTCTCTTCTTCCCAGCCAACATAGCTGTAGGGCAGCCTCTACTTAAGCTTTCTTTCTTTTTTAAAAAAAGGGAACAAAGGGGTGCTTTGCAAAAAAAGGAGAAAAAACCCAACCCTCACACACACAAAAAGAGTAACGGAGAAGTCTTCCTTGGCAAAAATGCAACACAACTTACGAGGCATGCTGAGCAGTGGAGAAGCAGAGTTTCAGTGTGTAGGGATACGGCCCATCTAAGGAGGGAAAAAAACACAAACACATATTTACACCCCCTCAACTTGGTTTATCTTTACGGCCGCAGAAACACAAGTCAATCCCTTTAAGGCAAGACATATATCCTATTTTCTAGACAGGGAAATAAGCCGATGAAAAGACACTCCCAAGGGGTTTCCAATTCTGCCCCTAAACCCAGCATCCACTTTGGACCGATCGGGCAGGGCCTTCCGACATCAAGGTCCTTGGCGTAAATGATGTCAACGGTGCCTTGTTACTCCCAGCGGTTTACAAACCACTCTGAACTGCGAAGCCCAGTTCCGCCTCCCCCCCAGCGCTGTGATGTCACTAGGAACACGCAACCTCACACCCTTTGCAAGGTGGAGGGGTGTGTGTGTGTGTGTGTCGGAAACCACAGAAAAAGCTTACTTGGGTTTTTCATCTGGTAATGGTTGAGGAAAGCCAGCGACTCCAGAGCATCGCCTTTGGTTTCCCACTCCAACAAGCCAGAAGAACTCCTTTCACCTGCAGACACAATGAAAATGTCCTTTGGGCATCTCGGAGAGAAGGCGCAGAACCGAATCGCTGGCAAGGGGAGGCAACGCGCCCGCCCCCCTTTACACCTGCAATTCAGACCTGTACCTGGAGCCCAAGCCCACTGTGCTGGTAGAAGGTGGCGGGACTTGCACACCTGGAGAGCACTGGGCCCACCTGAATTCTCTTAATTTCACAGCAGGGTTGAACACGGTTGAGAAGCAAAGGTTTTTCCTGCATGATCTTTGGATAAACTGGCCCGCTGGCTTCCTCTATGAGAAATTCCATCTCAATTTCTGCTTTCTGAGAGGCACAATCCTGAAGTTGGGAAGCTGCAGTGCATACTTACTTTTTCCCGAAAACACTTTCACGGAAGATGGTCTTTTCACTCCCAGCTCATCACAAATCTGAAAAGAAAAAGAAAAAATGATCCACATGTAAGAGAAATCCAAAGATTAGTCTATGGGATTAACCACGCCAACGATGAGACGTTCGTTTAGCCACGTCCCGTTTCTAAATCCAATCACAGTAACGTGTACATCAGTCAAACATATAGCTTTTGATGCAATACTTGAAAGGAAAGGAAAGAAATAGAAAAGAGGGGACTGTGGCCCATCTGTCTCCATTCATAAAAGTGAATAAATGCTGACAGGGTTCTGCAGACTCTCTCTTTGGTAGGTTGGCTGGCAGACGATCCCCCTGTCCCGACAAAGCATCTTCTGCTCCTGCTGCCCCGAGTGAGCGGAGGCCCCAAGAGCCGAGCTCTTACCTCGTAGAAGTTATCCTCTGTCACTTCCAGAGGGGCATTGAAAAAATGGAGCACGTTGCTGGGGTGTTGAATCCTGTTCTTGGCCGCCTGCTCCGGGGTTGAAAACCTGTTGTTCCGAGAACCACTGAAATCCTTGTAACTGCAGGAACCGTCCTCGAGGCCGTAAGACTGGCCAGGCATGATGGCCTGTTGCTTGGACACGCTGCAGTCAGGAGGGGAGAAACGCAGTTTAACTACCTCCATGAACAACAGAGGCCCCGCAGGACCGCTGGGGAGGACAGAAGGCACTCACCAGACATTCAGCTTTTGATCAAACATGAAGTTGTTGTTCAGGTGGGTGATTGCTCGGTCCACTGCATACCCATCAGCCATCTCCACCATGGCCGCCCCGGGCTTACTTTTCATGAATTTCACCTAATTAAAAAAAATACATTTGTATAAAGATCAATCCCTTTCAAGACCAGAATGGGTACTATGTGGTGCAACTTCAAAGGGCAAGTGGCATGGATTTCTACTGATTTTTTCAGTGAGTCTACAGGAAAAAGATTGTTCCTTTCCTCCTCCCAAGGAAAAACCATGTGCTAGAATTCCAGTCTGAGACAGGACCTCGCCTCCCCCTGCCAGGATTGTTCATTTCCTCCTCCCAAGGAAAAATCATGTGCTAGAATTCCAGTCTTTCTGAGACAGGACCTCGCCTCCCCCTGCCACAAACGATGCAACCAGAAGTACAAGCACCAGAGACTCTTGATACTCATTGGGACAGTCAAGTAAAACAGCGCCACCCTCTGGAGCTGAAACTGGCTGGCCTCTTCTGAGACACTGACAGGCCTGGGTCATTATTCTTCCTTCCTGTTGTCTGATCACCCACCCTCTCCAACTGACTGAGCAGCATCAGAACAAGGAGCCTGCACCTGTGTCCTTCTGGATGGTGGCACAGAGCATGCCCAGAGCCTGGACTGCACCACTGGGAGTGTTGTCTTGCCAAAGGCACTTCTGAAGCCAAGACACAGGCCAACCTTGAGCCCAGTTGTGGGAGCAAAGGTGGGGCTCCTGGGAGGGCGATGCTAACGCCCCACTTGGGCTTACTGCTAGAAGAAACCCACGTCTCAGCTATACGTGTAGGCAAAGAGGAAAATGAAACTATACTGCAGGGTAGCCTCTGGCCCTGAAGGACAAGCCGGACCCAGTTGGTGGTGCCTCCCGCTGTGTGCTGCTTTGCTGCTGCCCCCCCCCCAAGTGCTCCATGGGCACCTGCTGTGCCTTGACGGGAAAGACCAGGGTCCGGATGGGCTCACCTTCTCGACATTTCCATACAGGCAAAAGACGTTGAAGACCCGGTCGCAGTTCATCTTGGACTGATCCAAGCCATACACCATCAGGACAGGGCTGTCGGCGTGGGGGCCGTCCCCGGGGGGCGGAGGGGGAGGAGGGGGATGTCCATACTGAGGCCCGTAGCGACTTGGTCCCCTGTGCCGGCCACCCACCGGTGGGCCCATCCGCCTTCCTTCGTAGTGAGGGGGTGGAGGGCCATAGCCTTCATCGTGGTAGTGCCCGTGGTAGCCACCGTGAGGTCCTCCTAGAGACATGGAAGGAGACAGGGCTCAGGAAACCCAAGCAAGGCAGGCCAGAGGCCCTCCCACATTGGGCGGCTGCCAGTTGAACTTAGGCTCTTACCATATTCAGCGGGATGATCCCCGAGGAGAGGAGGCTGCCTCTGTCGCTTATTAGGGTTCCCACCTGGCTCACCTGCCAAAAGGAGAAAGCCTTTAGAAACCCATGCAAGCACCCGGCAGTCAAAGTTCTGGGACACACCCTGGACTACAGAGTCTTGCTTAGGTCCACCTTGTCCCTCTCCTGAACTATTTTCAACACCCCTGGAATGAGGCCTGTCTCAAGTCCCAGAAAATTAAAGGGAGGGGGAGCTCAATTTTTCCTTTGCAACACTACTAGATACTCTAAAATTTCTTTCCAAGACACACAGCCTATCTGTACACTGTAGAGCTGGGGTGAGGGGGCGGAATTCTGGAAAAGACCCTTTCTGGGACAGGCAAATCTAGCCATCCCTTCTGGCCTGATCTGTGCTTGTTTACTTTCCTGAAAACAGTTTTGTTTGGATTCAATGTCATCCCCAAACTACCTTTTTTTTTTGGCCTAACAAAACTACATTCAAATTTGCCTCTGTTTCTATGAGACCAAACTGCAAAATTAAGCTGCCTTGGGTTTTTTAAGAAGAAAGGCAGGATAAAAATATTTTAAATAAGCAAATAAATTACATAAACAAAATTATCTGCCTTCTAAAAGGGACGGCAGAGTAATGTGTGAATTCACTAACTGGACGGTATATAAATAAAGTCAATAAAATGACCAGCGATAGGGTAAGGAAAAGAGTTGAGGGAAGTTCACAACAAACTGAACACCTGAAAGTTAGGGCAACAGGAGAGATAGAGAGAACCATACCACCCTCCACAGCCCTAGCAGAGTTAAAGGGATTAAGCAAGACCGAGGAGCATCTGGCAAAGCAAAGCAAAAACAGCAGATCGAATTAAAACCCATAACTGTATACAAAGCAGAAGAATTTAAGCAATTCATACAATTTCATGTTGTCCTTACAAACAAAATTAAAAGGGGAAGGGGGTGTTTTGCACAGTTTATTTCAACAGTCATTACAAAGATTGAAAAAGGCTACTTACAGCAGGAGTTAACAGTACAATGTCCATTGTCACATACATATTCTGCATTTCTCTTACCATTGGACGCTTCAACAGCGTAAGCACAGTTCTGAAAGATGGCGTCCCACCAAACATACACTGCGACCCTGCGTTACACGGTTTCATAGTCAAATACAAGTCAAAAGGCACGGAACTGATACAATCAAAGAAAAAATGTTTTAATAATAATAGTAAAAAAAAGAGCTCACAGATGTTTTTTAGTCTTCAGATGGTATCAAGAAAAATAGGACATAACAAAGGTGTAATGAGTGTCCCTTCCGTGGTGCATCTCCTGATGTTTTTGTCATGTGCTGTTAACAGGCTGGGTGCTTCTGGCTCTGTGTAGGTCTCCCGTGTGCGTGTCTCTCCTCTGTAAATGGAATGTGCCTTGGATCCCAAGTGGCCCCCCGGAGCAGAAAGCACCCCCATCTCTAGGGAGCTGGGGGCTTTGGGTACTTGGGTGTTTTGGTTTGTTTGTTTTTTTGTCTGTCTCCGCTTGGCGCTGGTAAATGGTTGGCAGCTGAGGACTGCAAGGAAAGAAGGGATAGCCTGCCCTCCCAAACCAAACCGTGTTGATATGGAGAGCATCCTATATCTTGGAGGGCCTCTGAGATTTACTCCGTTCTCCGGGAAAAGCGCTGGTGCGTTTTGTCTGAGACCCCTCTGGTCTGTGTTTTCCTAGATTCTGTGTAACGTTCTTGGTTTCAAGGTTTGGTTTTTTTGTTTTGTTTTGTTTGGATTTGTAAGAATGTCGTGGCCTGATGCATCTTTCTCTCTCTCTCATTCTCTTTCTGTCTCACTCTGTGCTTGTAGATGTTGTCTTGGATCACGGTGTTGTGTTCTTGATGTTTAAAAAATGAGCTCAATCTGCTGCGTTTCAGGTACATTTAAGATGCTGCGTGTTTTCCTCCCGGCAGAGCTAGTGAAGGTTGGCCTTTTTTTGTTTTTGTTTTTTTCCTTTCCTACCCTGTGTGGTGTTGTTAAGAGAGTGTGTTGCAGAAGGCAGATCACAGGCCATTCAGGACTTCCAGTGCAGTAGCATACGGTTTTCCCCAGGATCATGGGTGAAAGCATTGTTCAGGGCTGGGGAAAGGCCAGGTTAAGGCACCTCCTCTTTGCCCAGCCTTACGGCAGGAGCGCCAGGAGGAGGCAGCTCTCAGGGAACTGTGCAGTCCTGCCCGCTTAAGCCACTGCCAATCTGCACATCTTCTAGTTATGTACCTTGGACGAGAAAGTGAACCATGTCCATGTCAGGTCATGTAATGCCATTGCTCGCTTTGCTGTGCAGGTGGGGCCAAAAAAAAAGAGGGCCTCTGCCAGACCTCTTGATCAACAGCCTCCCTCAACTGCTCGTCTGGAGCTCTAGGCGACTCTGCTGCAGCCATGGAATAACACAGCTCAACTGTCAAACTTTTAAGGACACATCTACGGTACATACATTTTCCGTTTCGAAACCAATTTAAATGTTTTGTCGTGTCAACGCAGGGCCAAACAGGGCAACGGCAGAAACAGACAGACCAAGGTGGTGCTTTCTAGCTAACTTGAGGCTGATTCAACACATCAAACACCCCTTTCACTATTTTGGACTACAACACCCATCCGCCCCCACCCAGGGCAATCCACTGGCAAACAGGATGTGTAGTCCAAAACACAAGGTTCCGGAAGCCTGAGCTAAAGTTCAACCTGCTCACCATTCTTACTTCTGCTTTCCAGGAAATGACACTTTTGCATCCCTAGCTGAAAAATTACATTCCTAACCCCCTCCCCACATGTACCCATAGGCTGCACCTACACAAGGCTTCCTTTGAGCATGAACAGAGCACCCTATCACTAGCCAGTACTGTCCTTCAGGCACAGCTAAGCATAAAATCGGATCTCCTTGAAGGTAGCCCCCAGTCCCCAAAATGGAACAGGAGGCATACTATACAGCCGTGAGCTATATCAGGGTTAGGGCAGTAGCCTCTTTGGCGCTTCTGTCCTGGACTGTATACTTTGTGTTTCACAGAGATGAGAATAACTGTTCTCTGAAACGTACCTCCTGGGTTAACAGCTTCCTAAAAGCCACGGAGGGCTCCCCTGCAAAGCCATCTTAGTGTAGTCTGCTCCTCATTGGGGCATTCACACATGATGCAGACTTCCAAAACTTGCTTCTAACTCTGCTGAATTCCCAATGCTGTACCTTAGTTTTCAAATGCTGCCACACTGGGCTCAATATAACAGCCTCCCCACCGTTCCAGGACAACAAAATTAAATCACTTCCCACCTCCTCCCTTTGCAAACGTTGCTAGCTTGTGTCATAGTGCAATGTATGAGGCTCCGCCCCACCCCCCAAGCCAACGGGCTAAACCGTGCCTCTCAAATAAACAGAAAAGTAGGACGCCGCTGCCTTGGGCCCCCACCAGACTTCCCAGGGTCAGGCAGAATGCTGGACAGCAGGCAAATGGCATTACATCACACAAATCAGAGCTATGACGTGTGTGATTGAACAGGCAAATGTTTGTGTGTGGCTTTAAAGCAGTCTATCAAGGTTACCTTGTCCACTGAGGTTGGGGTTGGTGTAATCCCATGTATCCTGGTCGTTCTTGAACACATTCAGACGGGTAGGCTAAAAAGACACAACGGTACCATCATAAAACAGGGTGTGTGTGCACGGGCGATATAGGAGGTGGTAACTCACCCTTCCGATTCCTCGGCAGGCATGAACGATGCTTGCTTAGGATGGAAACGCATGGACCCCATTCCCTAGACGCACATCCAGAGCACCACTCACCTTGGCATATTCAATCTTCAGTGTACAGCAGCCAGAGTAAATATCGGCCCCGTTCAGGGAAGCCTTTGCTCTCTGCGCGCTCTGCACCGAGTCGAACGTTGGCACTGTTAAGGAAGCTTTGGAAATATCTGGTGACTATCTTAAAACACTTCCTACAAAGCAGGGACTGATTTTAACACTCAGAAACACTTCTTTATCAAATGCTATCGCCTGCCTTTCTTCCCATTTCTATCTCTTTTGCTTAATTAGAGACAACACAGCAGAAGAGCAAACTCATCTCTCCGAAGCAGTGAGGTCTCTGGCCCTTTTCTATGAGGGTATCCGTAGAGATGACTGGCTATGTTACTCGCCATAGAAAACCAGCCGTGGGCTAAATTAATCAGACTGCTGCTATAGTTTGCCAGTTCTTACTTGGGCCAGGATGTGGCACACGTACATGGAAAGGAAGAACGTGTCACAATAGCTTTTCAAGGCAGTCAATAAACAGACAGTAACTGCTCCTATGAAAGGCTGAATCACTCTTGCTGAGGCAGTACAGGACTTGGTTACTTTATGCCAGGACCAGTGGGAGCCACTTTCAACCCTTTTCTCAGCCATCCTGAGGAGGGGAGGAAAGGATATTCCACCATAGCCTCTACTTTATGCCAGAATCAGTGGGAGCCACTTTTCTCAGCCATCCTGAGAAGGGGAGGAAAGGATATTCCACCATAGCCTGGACGCCGTTCTTCCGGAAGATAACAATCCGCTGAACAGGGCCACACGGGTTGCAGATGGTATATAACACATCCTGTGAAAAGATACAAGACATACCTTGTTTCTCCAAAAATAAAAACAGGGTCATATTAATTTTTCCTCCAAAAAACAATTTAGGGTTTATTTTCAGGGGAGGTTCTAAATTTATTCAAATACAGTCATGTCATCTTCTTCTGGTTGCTGCACAAAGGTGGAGGGCGGGGTTTCACTGAATTGGGGCTTATTTTTGGGCTAGGGCTTATATTACGAGCATCCTAAAAAACCATTCTAGGGCTTATTTTCAGGGAAACAGTAGCAAAACATAGGAACCTTAAGAAGACCAGCCTCCACACCTCTTAAACTTCTACTAATTAATAGGCTAATTAATGTATTTTATTTCAATTTAATGTAATTTCTGTATCACACTGTATAGCGTGTTGCATTATTCTGGGTGATTTACAGCAACTAAAACACACAACAGAGAAATTAAAATAAAAACACACAGATAACAACATAAGAGGCATAAAATTATAGCTTACAAGCAGAATGTGGGGCATTCTGAAAAATCAAACGGGGCAACTGAGAAAGGCCGCTCTGGAAAGAAGTGTTTTCAGGGGCCATGTAAACGTTGGGAGGGAGGTGCAGCTCCAGCATGAGTGGATCCTAGAGTACTGGTGCCACCGCCAAGAAGGCCCTAAATCTAGTAGACGATTTCCTGGCCTCCTTCGGAGGGGCCACCCGGGAGGATCAGTGCCTGGGCAGACCTAGAGGTGCAGGTAGATGACTTTGGGGAAAGATGCGCTGTTCCTGGCTCATCACCACCAGCTTCAGTAGCATCACTACTCACCGTTGTAATGGAGTAGATGGGATTGAGGATCGTGAAAAGCAGGACGTTGTTGACCCCTCTGGAGTCATCCGAGTCGCCCGGGCGCGAGATCTTCTGGCTTGTGGAATAGTTGACAAAGGCTGGGTGCCCCGCGATATAGATCTGGTTGTCAGCTGCGTAATTGACCGCATTGCAAGCTCCCAGGATATCCTCAAACTCCACCAAGGCCTGCCTCTTTTTGGGCATCACCACCACATAGCTTGAGAGGGGAAAGGAACCACACCGCTTCAGTAAATAAACATGCACGACAGCTAGAAACATTCAGCTCCTCTCTGCTCCCCCTCTCTTCTCTGGATGTCCCTTTTGCCACACTGCTAACCTGATAGGGCCAAATTCCTGCAGGGCCTCCACGAGATCAGCTTCCACCACACCATCGATCAGACCCCTGATGTGGACAACAGGAGAAGCAGCTGGCTTGTGGGGATCATCATAGTTCTCCTGTCGGAAAGGATGGGGAAAGAACACCATTAATACTGCCACATAGTTTCTCTGGCCTGCTCTTCATTCAGCACAGCTTCTTCCAGATTCAGTTCTCTGCTACATAAATCTAGAACAGTTCAGCCCATGACACTTACTCCTATAAGGGGAAAAAACCTCTTTATGCTAACTTGGGTGTTCTTTTCCTCTTTAGCAACTCCAATTTAGATCCAGGTTGGTAGACTTTTAAAATTTAATACTAAGAATAGGCTCTATATTTATACTACATATTGGGAAAAACAGAGTTTGCAATCAAGACGTCACCATGTGAAAAAGGATGCAAGTAAATCTGAACATGCAACCAAAAGACAGTGCCTACCTTGCTAATCAGAGAATGACACTGTGCTGAGGACTACTGGAGAAGTGGCTCCAGATGTGAGCTATGACAACAACCCCCAAAAGGAGTTCAACCGTTAACTTCTCCAAAGAAATCGGCTTCTATGGTAACTGGTCCTTCCCAGACTGATTCTTTTCCAATTACCTTGCAACTTTCAGGAGCAAAAAACTCCCTATTCTCAACCAGGTTCAGGACGCACTAGCATCTATAGCAGCGGTCCCCAACCTTTTTAGCTCTGCGGACTGGCTGGGGAAGGTGGGGCACCCCCATGCGCTCATGCACAAAGGGCAGCGCAGCGCTCATGCCAGCACTTGCATGCAGGCGCAAAAGGGCTGTGCATGGGGTAGGTCTCTCTCTGCGGCCTGCTCCAGCCATGGACCGGGAGTTGGGGACCTGTGATCTATAGAATAAAGGGCGGCACAGCGCTCATGCTAGCACTCGTATGCAGGCACAAAAGGGCTGTGCATAGGGTAGGTCTCTCTCTGCGGCCTGCTCCGGCCATGGACTGGGAGTTGGGGACCTGTGATCTATAGAATAATCACCCCAACTTCAAAGGACTATCTGCCACAGCATATATGGCACACTTAAGTTCAACAAACTATGCTGCCAGTAGTAAAACAACTAAGCTCAGATGACTGAGTCTATGCCCCTCACTCAGGGGTCACCCTACAGATCCTGCAATTGAAAAGCAGTCACGTCACTGGCTGTATACTAAGGTCAAAGGCCAAATTGTCACTGGTGAATGAAACCCCAAAGGAAATCAAAATCTCTGGATGGCTTCTGCTCAATGATTTAGTGCAAGCTCTCGTCTGTTATTTTCTTGGCTGCTTTGTGCTTTGGACTTCCTGCTGACCCAGCCCATCATTTCAGTGATTGAGCTCTTTGTCCTGCAGAACATGTGGTGGGGAGTTCCAGCTGCTCTTATGCTCCTAATTCTCCCTCAAATGCCGGACCCACTTTGGTTTTTACCAGCCAAAATTAAATAACATAGTCCATCCCTGACAGGTGACACTCAAGAGGTTATAATGCTTCCATTCGCAAGATTCCACTTCATCTCTACGGCTGACAAGAAACAGCAAATCTAGATCATGTGTTCTGATACAATCCTTTGTCAGATCATCACCAAATCCCACAGAGAATAAGTTAGGTTAGCGCAAGAATGCTTTCGATTTTTTTTAATTTGAACCATGACTTTAAAGCTCGATTTCCTGACCTAATTCAATATTTTGACTTTAAATACGGTCTTTCATTGCTGTAAGCCGCCTTGGGTCTTTTTCAAGAAAAAAGGCGGGGTAAAATATTTTTAATAATTCCCCATTCCTTCCTTTTAAAAAGTGAAAAGCGATGTGATTATCGTACATTTGTTAGAGCATTAACTCTGTAAGGGGAGCAATCTCTTGGCAGACCAGGCAGTAAAAGACTTTTGCTCCCCCCTACTCTGGTTGACTGCTTCAGGATATGGAGGCTCCACTTCTTTTCTTTCCTCTCTTTCCTTTTCCTAGTGTCTATCCCATCTTGTCTAAAGTTTTTCCCCTTATTTAAAAATGTTTTTAATTACATTCTAATATTCTTGTTGTAAGCCGCCTAGAGTGGTCTTAACCGACTAGGCGGGATATAAACAACAACAACAACAACAACAACAACAACAACAACAACAACAACAACAACAACAACAACAACAACAACAACAACAACAACAACAACAACAACAACAACAAC